GCTTCTTGCCTTGTTTGACATATGGTTGCCAAACGTGGAAATTTACTGCTGACACAAGAAAGAAGATCAGCGTCTGTCACAGAGGACTCGAACGAAGTATGCTAAAGATAAGGAAACTGGATAAAATACGACACACAAAAATAAGAAAAATAACTAAAGTAACAAACGTTCTGAGCTACGCACAAAAACTGAAATGGAAGTGGGCAGGACATGTTGCGTGGCTAACTGATCTTAGATGGACCAAAAAAGTAACATTCTGGAATGGCCCAATAGGCAAAAGAACAAGAGGGAGACCTATTACAAGATGGGAAGATGATATTAAAACAATAGCTGGTCCAAACTGGATACAAGTAGCTCAAGACAGAGCCAAATGGGCATCACTGGAGGAGGCCTTTACCCATTCTGGGGTTCCGGTAGATTAAATAAAAATAAGATTAGACAAATAAATATATTAATATCAAAATAGTTATAGATATATTATAAGTAAATAGGTAAATATAAATTTACGAAAGCTTATACTACACAATAAGGTTATATAAAGCATTAGTTTTATAAATATTGTTAAATAAGTATTATCATATAGGTACATACACTTTAGATACAGATAAATCTATATTAAGTGAGTAATAAATAAGTAACATAGAGTAAACCAAACTAACACATGCATAGATTATAATTAATGTAAATTTACAGGAAATAAAAGGCTCTTTTATTTTATTTTATTTTATTTATTTTATTATGCAAATAAAACAAGCGTTCTATTTTTAAAAGGGGTGATTATTTTAGGGATCGTTGTTCCGCTATTTGTCTGCCCTCAGTGAACATATCCTGAAGGAATTACATTACCCACCTACATAACTATAGGAAAGTTTTGTAACATATCTAAAATAATAAACGTTTTTAAAATAAATCAAATTGTAGATGTATATATATATATATATATATATATATATATATATATATATATATATTTAAAACTTAAAGAAAAACAAATCTCACTGCTTACACTAATAATAGCGATGAGTCGACTTTTAATTAATAATATCAATTTACTTCTTGGCTTCTTCCTGAGATGAATCTTTAATTTCTTTGCGCACGCGTCCGGTTTGGTAAATGGGAACCGCTTTCTGGTTCTTCAGTGATGGTTACTGTTGTCTAAGTGCCACATCAGTCAACACTCCATCGGAGGGAAGTCTAGACTCCACGGTTTCAGGCCGGCAGCCTTCTGGTAATGCGTACCTCCGAACGATTTGACGAGAAGTGTAACCATACTCATCTTGTTCCTTGTATTCCTGTTTTCTTTCTATTACAATGAAGCCATTAGCAGTCTTCACTGTAATTTCCTCCGAGGCGAAGAGTTGAACGTACAAATTTACTTGAATTTGTCCTTATCAGCTTTGATGCTTGAACCAACATCACAAGCTGCAGCCGCTAATTGCCTCTAGGAACTAAAGTAGTCCCTCGATAGCAAAAGGCTGACGGTAACAGTAAGTAGGTCGTCTGGAGTTAACGACAAGCCAAAGTCTTGGTCCAAAAGGCAGCCGCGACGCGGCCAGTCACCAAGTACGCACGGTAGCAACGACCTTTTCTCTCACTTGTACATTAAATCTACAAAAACTGATTATTGTTCTTCTTAGTTTGCTTCCGTGAATCGTTTTGCAGCTTGCCACTGCAAGATTTTGCAAGATTTCACATTTCATCATGGTAACTTAAAATTCAATTAAATATCGTCGAGAGAAACAATTAACGCGCGTAACCTTTCGTGACTCATAGCGTCACCCTTGCCATTATGAGACTGTTCATACCCGTGCTTACTGATCATACTCACTAATGCACGCTCCATAGCTTGCTTATAAATGCTCTAAGATTAAAACGCTGTTAGTGATCTCGAGAAGGCTGGAAAAACTGGTCAATCCGACATAATCCGTCCTCTTCTCCGCGATCCGGATAGGTATCTGAAGTCATTTTCCAATGTACAAAAAATTTGACCAAGAAAAATGACAACGCGACGCGATGCAACCTATTTATGTCAACAACGTATAACACAATTTGGTCATATTCAAAGTATTTAGGAATTTTTAATTTGAAAATAAGTATTTCAATTATCACAATGGGATCAATAAATGTATTACTATGAAGCAAATACTACTTCAATTAAACTGTTGGACAACCCTATTAAACAATTAGTCATCCGATCCACCAGACAGTTTTTTCACATAGGATATAGTCAATGTCAATTACAAAATGAAATGGTACGCTATTGTGTTGAATACTGGCATTGATTTATTAAAAACTATTAAAATTGAAATACGAATATCTTTATTAATTAAAATTAGAATTGTTACGGATGTGATCTAGCTTGCTACATATTTATCTATTATGTGATATCGCAGCTGGATACGGATAGGGATATTATGTTAAAATTGTATCTGTTTTGATGCAGATATGATATAATTTCGAATATCCGATTGTTCTAATATGATTATAACCGTTCACCTTTTATATGTATTAACGTACACTGTTAATTTATAATTTACTACTCTGTATCTCGTTTATGTGTTTTAGTGGTTATTTATTAACAGACATTTGATATCAAACCAATACATTTATTTCGTATTCGCCCCGGCTTCGCACGGGTAATTTCTGGATTCCGATAGCAGCGCCATCTACCGTATACATATATTTGATATTTCGGACATCGATAACTTGTGTGACATTTGCGAAACTCCGTAACAAAATTAGTAATTAAACTTACATACATTTTAAATGAACAAGTGCAATAAACATAAAAAATTAACATGTAAATTACAATTAACTGATTTAACCTCAATCCTTTTAAATTTTCCATGCAGTCGCATGCGTTCGTCAAATCCCGAGCGGTGGCATGCCACCGCACCCAACCAAAGCACTTTAAACCATTCAAACTAATATTTATAAAATACTTTTCTATAAAAAAAAGTTTGGCATTATAGAATCTATACAAAATTCTCTATTCTATAGTTTAAACAAAAGTCAGTTATTCAATGGATTATTTTGTAATGATACTTTATTACAATAAAGTATCATTACAAAAATACTTTATTGTATTTTGATAACCTCATACCAAGCTAATACCGGTAGTGTGAAAATTACTATTATTTCTGTATATTACTCTATAAAAGATAAATTATATTCACACAAAAACTTTTATAACAATTTTATAATATAGAAAACTGTTCTTAACTTAGAAAAATCCAAAAATCAACGCAACAATGTACAACAACGAACACTCGATAATGACGCACTTTGAATGTAGATTATAAATGAATATCTATAGACTAAATAAATTTTTATTCAGTTGAATAAAAATTCATTTATTTTATTTCCTCTAATTAGAGGATAGAAAATTTCATATTGATTCCATTATGCCAAACTTCTTCATAGAAAAGTAGTCTTCAAACATAAGTTTTTATGGGTTATCGTTTAGTGGGTGGGTGCGGTCTCATGAGACCGCTAGGGATTTTCTGTATATATTACTCTACTCTATGGATTTGACGGTTTAAGGCTGCGGTCTTATGAGACTACTAGGGGATTGTGCGGAAATATGTATGGTAGTCACATTTTAAAAATACTGTGGTAAATAAATGATTTTCTAGAAAGTGAAGAAAAATTGTTTGCGAAATTAGGAATTAGGAAATTAATTAATTAAATTAAATTATTAACTATTATTTAAATAAAAAAATTAAATTTACCCATCAACACCGTGTAGTGGCGATATTTGAATATACACCACCCCTTAATATCATTCCGTGTGTGTCGAAAGAGGCGCCAAAGGGAAGCACACCCGGAGATGGGCGTCAGCATCTTCCTGATAAAAATATTTCAATTCAACAAATCTAATGATCTTATTTAATATAAACTTTTTTAATTCCCGTCGTTTCGGGCACTTTATGATGGATGTTACAGTATTAACAAAGGCTACCTTCAGCTTTTAATTACTTATTAATTTTTGGTCCAATCTCCGACCTTACAGTATCTTGAAGTCTAGCAGTAGTATGTTTCGGTTTAAAATCCGTAAAAATTAAACACGATTTAATGCGTAAAATTAGTTTTATTCCATGTTTGGTATTCACGTTAGTATAAGAAATCATAATTTCAATTGTAATAATGTCTTTTTTTTACAACTTCACTTTTAAAATATTTATTTAGTTTTTTTATAACATTGGATGACAAACGGGCACACAGTCCACCTGATGACAAGTGGATGCTGTGGATCAGACATCCATATTTATCCTCAACTAAAGATCAAAATGCAAATGCGTTGTCACCCCTGTGGACTAAGATGAAATGCCTCGATTCCTGTAAAAAAGTTCTCTGGTTCTCTACACTCACAATACGAAACACAGCAGCATTACGCTGGTATTCCCTAAGAGCGTGGTCCTGCCCCGGTCGAGCCGACCCCTTATATTACTATAGTATACTAGACTAGACTAGATTAGACTAGACTAGACTAGAATAGACTAGACCATAGTATAGCTGCAGCACGTAAAATATATCATTTTATTATTTTATTTTATATATTTAAAAGTTTAAATTTTAAAATATTTCTTATAATTTGTTTTATTTAAATTGCACTGTCTTTGGTTTATAATAATTTGATGTGGGTTTCCATAAAATAAAAGGGACCTGGTGAATGTCCCATTACCTCAAAAGTTTAGGAACCGCTGGTGTAGAGAAACGGAGACTCCTTTTTCTAATAACGAGGTATTCCATCTTACTCCTCAGAAGTGGCAAGGCATCCGAATTTTGATAGGTACAATTTAATAGAGGATACATGTAGGTGTCTACAGGCCTCAGCATTTATTTACTTACCATCAGGTGAACTGGGTTATGGATTTTCATGATCAGATATTCCGCTTAACCTTTTTTTACGTCTTATGTCCGTATCTTATCAATGCAATGTGAGTGTTTATTGTTTTAAGTCAGATTATCATAATAATTATCACTATGTATTGTTACAGATATGAAGTGAGGCAACGGTTCGGCGTGACAGAGTTTATGGAACCAAAGAAAGTACTGCGAAGTAATTTTAGGATGACGCAGGTTTGTTTTGGATTTTTCAAATTTTATATAGATCATATAGTTTTATATATCACGTGTGGGCATATATATGCATAATATATTATATATACATTAATTGTAACTAGACAAACAACCACACTTAGAACAACTATTTATTGATCATAATAATTCGTTACATTTAAAGAACGAACGTAAAACGTACGGAAATCGATCGTAAGATAATATGTGAGAGATATTCCCCATAAGTGAGATACCTTGAGTCTCCCTTATGAGGTACTCTATGCCACAGTTGCCACGTTTGACAGGAGGATGGTAACCGTAGTTTCTTTATTTTCTAGCTGTTATGAAGACTCTGCTGCACATTTTCTGGTTTATTTCGATTTGTCGCTTCTTACAACATCAACGGGATGATATGAGGGTAGTTGATTATCTTTCACCACTAGCACACGGTATACCGCGAGTTAAGCGAGTACAAGCATTGAGTTATATAACACAGTACAAGTTTTAAATAATAAAAATATTCATTGTCTAGGTGACTGTCGAAGTGTGAGAGCATGTCACAGTCGGCGCTGGGGCTTAGCGGGGAGCGGCGTTACTCGGTGCCGTCCAACCCCCTCCTCCACGACCCTCGCAGCATGCACTCCGAGGACCTGCACGCCTGGTCTATATACAGGTATTTATTTTTACTCTATATCAAAATACATAATAGAATATTCATTGAAATTTGAACCTAAGCACTCACAACTCCTTTGACAGACAAAAAATAATGTTAACTTCTAACCATGGCATATGATATGCGCATGCGCTCTTCTATTCTTTTAGTAATTAAATGTTCAATTGTATTTGTTTTTTAATGTCAGTATGGGCACAAATTGAGCTTCTAAGTCAGCATTAGCGATATTGATGTTATAAAAAAAGATGTTTTTAAAAATATAAATGAAGCTAGCATAACATCAACATCGGTTCTTTGCCTGGTCGTCTTAGCTTGGTCTACTTGCATATGCTATTTTAATTTAATTACATATAAAGCTATACTATACTTGAATCATCGTAATTAAAAAACCAAGACATATCAAAGTCCATCGAATCATAGCATTTTTCCGGAGGGCCGGGGAGCCTGGCCCTTGATAAGTGTTTAATTTTAATAATTTTAATATATTAACACTATTAAAAAAAGTGTTTACAGTTAATAGTATTTATTGATTTACACTATTAAATAATGATTGAACACTACATATTTAATGGTCACGAGGGGACTGATGTGTTCGACGTCCCAATATCATAGTTAACCCATTGATTTATATATTACCCACAGATTCGATCTTATACTGTTAAAATTATTTTTTTTTTAAATTTATTGTCTAGTTGAATAAAACTATTATTTTCGCGTAATTTTAAGAAATCATTTATTGTCTAGGCTTACTAACGAAAATTACACTATACTCTTATAAATATATAGATATATGTGTATAAAACTTCACTTATAATTCAAGCGCTTTATCAAATATAGACTAACTGCTTTTTACTAACTGTTTAATCTAAATTTTGAGTTGGTAATTTAATATCCTTGGACGGCCACAAGACAAATCCAGGGCTAACACCTAACACAGCTCACCAGGACATGACCAGTATACGGTAGTACATCTTATCACTGCTGTATATCGATTTCTTTTTCTTTTTTCCTTTTTTTTAATAATGTTACTTCCATGCCAGGATTTTCTCCTGTATCGTGGGAACAGTTTACATACATAAACTATCAAAACGCAGCTTTTTACGAAATATTCGTAAAGCGTTATTTAATATTAGCTAATAATAATAGAATAACAACGATTTAGCACGTTTTCTTAATTCATAAACATTTAATATTATTTCATTAAAATTTAATATTTTTACAGGCAGAATCTGAACTCCGACTTTACAGACAGCGCGCTAGGCAGCACCGACAAGAGTCCTCTGCCCTACGGAAACTTCCAGCTCAGAGATACGACAGTGCAATCCATACTCTCCCATCCACGATATGGCCCAAAGTAAGTTAATTCAATATGATTTATATTAAGAACGCGAGTAGCCCGGGTTCGATCCCCGCCGGCACAAAGGAAATTGTTAATTGCAATTTTAAGTGCTGATTTACCACGTGCTCGGCGGTGAAGGAAAACATCGTGAGGAAACCTGCATGTCTGAGGAATAAGAAAAAAAATATTTCGAAGACATGTGAAGTTCGCCAACACGCAATGGGGCAGTGACGCGGACACTTCCTTGCCCTAAAACCCTCTCAGAACTGAGGGGGAGGCCTGTGCCCACCAGTGGGACGTATATATGCTGTAACTTTACTTTTTACTTTTATATTAATAAACCTACGTGAACCTAAATCTAAAATCTAGCAGAGTGTATTCACATTCTCCATACAAAAGGCACGAAAGTAAGGTTTGTGATATAAAAATATATTAAGGCTTAGCCTTACCATGACCGAGACTGCGGTAGACGTAAACTTGTATAATCGATATGTTTATACTGAACATATCGTTTTGAAACCCATTTTGAGCGGGTTTGTTGTCGATATACGTGTTATCGATGGGCACCACGTACCAATGATTACGGGCGTCTTAGTGTGTTCTTGTACATCGGCTATCCTTCGAATTAGGGATAGTGTGTTTGGTAACACATATTATTATTTTTTATATTATACAAGAGGGGGCAAACGAGTATGCGACCCACATGATGGTAAGCGAGTACCGTCGCCCATGAACAACTGGATCACAAGGGAAATTGCAGGTGCTGGGCTTTAAAAAAGTACTCTTTTCTAAAAACGCTACAACTTACTACGGTGCTAGTGCAACGAGCGATGTGCAATTAGGCAATGATACATGGATGATTAGCTCCTGGCACGCTATTATAAAACGTTGGTGTTACATATCTGTTCTGACCGTGCAATAGAATGGACGCGACGGTTTGATTGCGTCTTCATAAACGTTTACATATTATATTATTCTTTGTACCGTTGTTTGAACACTTCGTCAATATTGAAAAGAAACTAATAGAACCAATATTAAAGAAATTAATGGTATCCTTATCGGAAGAAGCAGAATATGAAACTTTTCACTGAACTACTAACAACACTATTAAAGATGTAAATTATTGCAACTAAATTTGCAATAAAATTCTTTGCACATTTTATATTTTAAATATTTAAATTAATTTTTGCTAATTCACAAAAAAAATGATTTTATAATATGAAAACGATAAAAGAATAAGTTTCACTCACTAATTTACTTCTGAAACTTAATAATTAAGGACATCCTTTATTACAGCTTTGGTATAATTTTCGCATTATTTTATAATGTACGCTTTATTGACTTTTAATGTGATATTTGACTTTCATAAATGTATTTGAATGTAACTTAGTTTCTCTTTTAATAAAAAGTTTTATAACAGTGAAAACTGGTAAGTAATTGTTACTCAAAAATTTTGACCACAATGACTATTATGGCATCGTGGTCAAAAATTGGACATACGAAAGCTATTAACCTCGAAATACATGTACATACAAGTATGTACATGACAAGTGGTAAAATTAAAAATTTTATACAATCGAATTCGATATAAATAAAATTAGAACATGATCAATAGAAAATGATCAGTCGAAGTCAAATAAATACGCATTATTAAGAATAATTCAAAAACGATTGGCCAGATCCAGATCAAATTTATACGGGACCACACGAGAAGCATCAGTTTTCAAATGAAGAAACAATCATCAAAATCACACGTAGAAAACATACAGTCGAACATGCAGCTAAACGCAAGTTTTATAATGCCAATAAGCACTGAATAAATAATAGTACTACGTACTCAAAGTATATGATCCACTGCGGTAAACAAACCCAGAAAAATATAGGATATTTTTCTGGATATATGCAGGTTAGATACTTATTGAAAATAAGTATAGTATACATGCAATTATTCCGATTTTTTGTCAGATTTTTATACATTCAACGTAACTTCTCCTTTTTGAAGTAGTTTAAAAAGTAGTAGGTATTTGTGTCTACTTTTCCGTGGCCGACGTAAAGCTTATGCATATGATCGGACAAGAGTATCAAAGATATAAACACAATCAAAACATAACCAGATCAGAAAACTAAAAACCAGATGGTTAGGCGCTCGCTGTAAATAACACAGTACGCGAGCAACCCGGATTCGATTGCCGCCGGCACCAATGAAATTGTTAATTGCAATTTTAAGTGCTGATTTACCACGTGCTCGGCGGTGAAGGAAAACGTCGTGAGGAAACCTGCATGTCTGAGAAATAAAAACAGAAATATATTTCGAAGACCCGTGAAGTTCGCCAACACGTATTGGGGCAGCGTGGCGGACACTTCGTCGCCCTATACCCTCTCAGAAATGAGAGGAGGCCTGTGCCCAGCTGTGGGACATATATAGGCTGTACATTAACACAAATGTAGCTCTGTTGGCTGGAAAGCGAACCCAGGACCCGTGACGTAGCAGCCGGTTATGACACAATTGTCTTTCACGTAAATAATCAGAGTACCTGTGCATTACTCTTTATGTCAGTTTTGCTTCTCGTGTTTTTGTCTCTCAGTTGTTTTTGCCCCGTGGATGCTGGGTTCAGTATACAGTGGAGCCCAATTTTGTGCTTAATACCAATGTTACCATGTTAGTCTTGGCATACTATACCGGTATAATACTAGTTGCCTAGTGTAAATCGAGAACACACTATTTATCAATTTTCCTAAATATTTTTAAGTAGATACATTATATTTTAGTAAGATTTAAAAAAAAACTGAATTTTTTTTCACCGTAAAATGAATATTAGCTTAAGAATAATTATTTTATTTATTTTTAATTTCACTAAAATTGTTAAAATAGTGATAGTAATACATAATGTTAAAAATATTTATTACAATAATGATATTTGTTGGACTGATGATAATGATGACATAAGAATTTAAAAATTTCGAATACTACTTTATTCTTTTTTGCAAAACTGAAATCTAAAAAAATCTGTGAATAAAAATAATCTGACGATTTGATAAAATTAAACATTGTGTTACAGATCTGCCCTTGGTTCCAACATGTACACCTACCTAAAATTCGGATTGCCTCGAGTTTTCCCGCCGAACCACAATGGCTCTCAACGATCTGGTACGCCCAAACCAAAGACCTCCATTGGGAGCGGCATGAAATCTGTACCAAGGTAAGGAACTTTCTCATTACTAGTCTATCAGGTATAAAAAGTACCTAATGTTTTTTTTAACTTGACTAGAATCCTACCTGATGGTAAGTAGTGACGAAGCTTTGGATGGGAAATCGCACTATCTTAGCGTAAAGAAAGTCTATTCACTATTGCATTGAAGACACCAGCTTGTAATCTATTGGATAGAAACCAAAGGAAAGCTTACCAAAAAGTAACAACCTATATTTTTTTTTAAATAAGGGTGACAAACGAGCACACATTCCACCTTATGGTAAGTGCGTGCTGTGGCTCGTAGATTTTACATTTATCCTCAATTAAGAATCAAAGTGCATATGCGTTGTCCCCCGAAATGAGTTGACTGAGATGAAATGCCTCGCTTCCAGTAGATAGGGTCTCCGGTTCCCTACACTCATCATACGAAACACAGCAACATTGACCTGCTATTTTACGTTGGTATTCTGTGAGAGCGTGGTTATACTTCGGTAGAGCCGAGCTATTCTTGCTCCAACCATAATATAGATGCAGCGTGGCTCCACCACGTAAAAAGGCCTGTTTTGCATAGGCTGCCTCTCATTTCAAAGGATTTTGGAGCAATCCCGAATGCTACAGTGCGAAATTCACATGTCCTTAAAATATCTTATTCCTCAGACATGCAGGTTTCCTCACGATATTTTCCTTCTCTGCCGAGGACATTTACATATTATATCCTCGTATACGAATCAAAATGCAAATGCATTGTCAGCCGTGAGTAAGATGGAATGCTTCTTTTCCAGTAAAAAGGGTCTCCGTTTCTCTACACTCACCATACGAAACACAGCGGCGTTAAGCTGCTATTTTACGCTGGTATTCTGTGAGAGCGTTGTCCTTCCCTGGTCGAGCCGACGCATTGCTACAACTATACAATTAATATAACTGCAGCATGACTCTACCACGTCTACACACCATTATGAATTGTAATTTATGATTTTTTCCCCAGGGTTCAAAGACAGAGTCGAGGCGTACGCGAAACTTCATCTGGGTATGATAGCTCGGACAATGAAACCTCCACCAACTACAAGTATAGTCGCAAATACCGCTCCGACCCCGATTTTAGAATGCAAAATTTACACCCATCGTATCAGGTGCGTAAATATTTACAAGCCCGTAAATTTTTATTGAACAGCATATAAGTTAATTTTTTTGCCATTAAGCTTATTAGCTGACTTCAAAATAGATACCAAGGCGTCCTCCGAATTGGCAACGATCGTACGAGCAAACGATACGATTTCGTCGCACGACGAGACTTGTTCGCTCGACAGTGGTACAAAATACAAATGTGACTAACACAACGCCTCCACCCGCTCGGCAAGGTACACATTTGTCCACTAATAATTTATGAGGGCGAACCCGACAAAAAAAGGTTTGTCATTAAAAATTATAACAAATTTATACTGAAATGTATAATACAGACATAGACAAAGACATACTCTTTAATTTGGTACCATAATCTGTCAATTTCGAACTAAAAATAGACATAAAAATCATTCTGACGTAATGGCTTTTTACAACAGTAGTGCGTCTACCACACAGAGTACCTTTGTATAAACCGAACTGACTGGTCTACCCTTAGAGCATTATGCTCTAAGGGTCTACCACGCACTACTGCGTGAGTTATTTCTGAGTAATTTCTCCGTTTTTCTGTGTTTTTGAAATAAAAAGGTGAGTTTTATACTTTCATGTATTCCTTGTAATAAAACAAACACGTAGATATATAATTTATGGCATAAAAAGTGAAAAGTAAGTGCCAATTCGAAATCGGGAAGGCCCGTTTTAGCGGTTGGGTCAAAAATGTGTTATTTTTCCAATTCTCATTTATTTTTAGTATAAAATGTAACTAAAAAATAGTGTTATAACATATTTCAATTATATATGTTATAACATATTATAACTTGACGTTGTATTTATTTTAAATTTACACAAAAATATATTTGGAATATTGTTCGGAAATCTCATACAGATAAAAATTAATTTCGTTTTTTTTTTAATATTTTGGTATGAGTAACGAATAGAAACACATCAAACATAAAAATATACATATTTCCAAACATTTTCATATAGATTTCTCCAAAAACAAACGTGTAGAATTCAAATTAGTAGTAATTTTAGACTAAAAGTGAGGTTTCTACTACTAATATGTTATAAAGGGTAATTTATGAATTTTATTACAATTTCTAGCAACTAAAAATAATTTTATTCGATAGTTTATACATTCAATAAGAATCCCTGTAAGTTTTATCCATAAATATTTTCTCAAAGTGAAAATATAGCAAAATTTGCAAGTTAGCAAAAAATTTGCAATTCCCGCCATTTTACGTCGCGAGCAAACCGGCGTATCGAATAAAGTCGCCTTTCGAACATACAGGTTAAGGGTATGTTCCGAAATACAACACAGTACACATTTTTTAGTGTTGTAGTTGAAGTTTGCGCTTGCGAAGTCATCGCGCAAACAGAGGGATGCTTAATAACGATCGTACGATGGGTTTTATCGTACGATCGTGCAGTCAAAGGTACAACTCTTTTGAGTGTTTTAACTCTTAATTGATCATGGAGCAAACGCAGCAACGTAAGGGCACCGGTGAGTCGAGTTAGAGAGGATAAGACACCTAAGAGACTAAAAAAATTGTGCATCTGAGTAAACAGCCATTGTACTACTTTATATATATATATATATATATATATATATATATATATATATATATATATATATGTTCAGTTGACAAAGTCGCTAGTGGACAGTTTACTACAGGAAATAGGTGACATATACATATTTATTTGCACTTTTCACAATGAAATCAAAAAAGCACTCTTCTCATAGCACAGAACAAATATTAGCTTACAGCGAAAATGTTATTTATAAAACGGCGGCCTTAGTTCCAATTTTGTCCACCTGAACAGGTAAGTTGGTGGCACTGCAGTTTAAAGTACTTGCATTATATATTATACTTATGATTATTAGGTTTAATGTAAACTTTGCATAAGTAGTTAGAGATTATAAGTTATAAAACATATAATAAATTATGTCCAGCAATTGCTCGCAACTCGACTTATGTGGCTCCGAGAGAATAATATCAGCACTGCTGTAACTCTGTTACTGTAGGATTATGCTGAGTCGGTGGTCTTTTTGTGGCTGCAATCCATATGTCGTATAGTTCTTTTTTCTTTTGACGTGAATACTTCTTTAAATTTGATTCCACAGTGAGAGGCAACTCAGTAAACTGATGATAATAAAATCGGGGGATACACTTTGGTGTATCTATATATTGCATATTATATATTGCAGCTACATTTTTTATAGAATAAGGGTAACAAACAAGCATACAGTCCACCTGATAGTAAGTGGATGCTGTGACCCATAGACATCTAGACAATATTTAACCGCGATTAAGAACTAAAATTGCAGGTGCATTGTCACCCTCGAGGACTAAGATGAAATGCCTTGTTTCCAGTTAAAGTGTCCCCGATTCACTACACAACACTATAGTATTCTGTTGTTATTTTACGCTGGTATTCTGTGAGAGCGTGGTCCTACCCTGGTCGAACCGACCTATTGGTGCTCCAACCATAATATAGATGTAGCTCGACTCTACCACGTAATAGTGTCGTTTGCGGCAGCACGCGACGGGCGTGCCGCTGGCGGCGATGCAAGCGGCAGGCGCGCGCTCGCAGTGGGCCGCCGCACGGCTGCGCTCGCACAGCGAGGCCAACCTGCTAGCAGCCGAGCGCGCGCACCGCCGCCGCCCCAGCGCTACCGAGTACGCGCCCGACAACGACCACAACAGGTACGCTTCACAACTCTTTAATATAGTAAGTCAGCTCAAATTCTAATTTCGCCCCCACTTCCCCGCGCGTCGTACGCTATGTACCGACATGTTTGTAATCACTAATACTGTAAGTAGATAGGTCGTTAGATACTTATTTAATTAGTTTTATCATATTTATGCCTGTTTCTTTACGCCAACCCAGTCGCTTCTTATTTTTATTACGGTTATTTCCCATTTTAATTTTACGTCGTCCTGTTGCGTAATGAGTATTCTGATTGTAAGCGACACGGCTTTACCCTTCGAAAGCCGAGGCAAGAGGAGATTGGAAACTGATCGTGATCGGGCGGCAGGAAACAAGCTTCAAGACGCCGATAGTTTAGGTAATTTCTTATTACAGTGAAAATAATGGTAATTTAAAAAAAATAAAAAACATAAGCCCTGCTTTAGAGCATAGTTAGTATGCAGAGTTTCATGATCTAATTTAAAGTATTTTATGAATACCAGCGATTTATTGTTCAATTTGGAGGTAACATTTGATGTTTTTTTCTCTCAAGAAAATTTTACGGAATCGGGTTTTCGTCTAACATAGTACTTAACATTAATCCTCAACTTTACTATATATTTATTTCAAAATTAATGCTGCAATATTTTAGGCATAACGGAGGATCTTGCTAAGCCATTTGAGGTTATATTTCCCGTTAATATCATTCAATGGTGGTGGTGCAATGCTCGTATGGACCATATTTGTAATATAGACAATATCAGAGAATCATACTAAAGGACCTACCTATTGCCACTTACATTTTTGAGAGTGGTGCAATGCTCCCTATTACTTTAGTAGTTTTGAGAGTGACATTGTTTTTGTATTTGTATTTTCGTTCTAAAGCATGTTTGTATAGCTAGTTAGTTATAGTAATCTACATAATTAAGAACTATTACATCTACTTTTATTGGGAGTTTTAGGCTATTTGTGGATATATTCGTTCATTAATTACTACCTATTAAAGTTCCACAGCAAAACTAAAAATAGGTTGCCTCATAGAAAGAAATTTAAATCAGTTTTCACTTTTTTAGAAGTTTTTAATTATAAAATTAGATTGTTACTGTTAGGAAAATAATAAATCTCCTATAATGGGGACTTACAAACATGTAAATATAATAAAAGGTTAGTGGGTAGTGGCAGAATAGTTATTTATTTAACGTTAATTTACAAAAAAATGGAATCAATGTCCTAAATGCAACTAATATCATCACAAAGTACTTTTTTAATAGTGAATATCATAAAACTCAACACACACGGTCAAAGTGATCAGTTTAAGTAACCGTGCGCCCGGAAAATACCCGCCAATACTGTGGGTTGCCGTCAGTTAATTTCAACTTAAGATTTCACACTCACGGTCACGCTTTGGAGTTCAACTGATCCGTTTAACGATCGGGTGTGTCGTGCTTCAGCTCGGCACAACGCATTGCGTGGCACGCATTAGTTGACATGCTAGTCTTACTGTTCATATATTTATTTTCTAGTTACTTGATGCCTTCATCGCACCTTGGCGGCCGCATGTCCAAAGCCGGAAGTCACTTATCACTAGCACAATCCAGGAAGCACTCCACACTACGACCTGGTGATCAACTGGATGGTTATACGCACTCGGCGTACATCTATCCCAATTATTACGTGAGTAGCTGTATATATATATATATATATATATATATATATAATATATATATATATATATATATATATATATATATATATATATATATCAACTATAAATTATAACGTTCACCTTACCGTTAACCTTTATGTTTCTATGGAAACGTTGATAAAGATTTTTTTAACTTCCCATTTGGATGTTCGTCATTTGGGTCGTATATTTGATGGTTAATTTTTTTAAATATCACTACGTTTTGACGTACGTAGAGACCCTTTCTACCATATAAAAGAATGTCTGTTTATGTGTGCATCATTCGTATCTGAGGTGTGGGTTATCTTTATAGCAAGTATGATAATATCTGCTCCAAACCAATTCCTTTAATTTTTTTGAATTTTTAATATTTTAAACAAAATGTAATCTAATCTAATCTAATAAGAAAATTATTTACGTATTATGTTGATATCACATTGAAAGTTTTTGAGAGATTTAAAGACTTTATGACAAACAAAATTACACATAAAAAGGTATGGGCCTAAATCCTTGCCTTGCTTTAATAGTCTCAATCTTGAACGAATTAACCATTTCGTTCAAGGTCTCAGTTTACCCCAGTTTGCGATGTCCGTCACCGTATATCGACAAATGAATGTCGCAATGGTTGATATATGGAAATCAATTGAAACGCAAAAAATGTTCTACCTATGTCCGTTATAAGACTTTGAAACCATTCAACCGATGGTTATAAAATATTTTGCGTGTGTTTGAATGGGTCCCTATATTGTTTATATTAAATTAAATTTGTATGCGCTAGGTGGCGCTGTTGTCGTGATCCAGAAATCACCCGTGCGAAGCCGGGGCGAATCGCTAATGCTTAATAATAATAACAATTCGTAATTACCAGACCATATTTAGACGAGATGAAGAGTAGCGTTAAAAGGAATTTCAGTCTACCAAGAGTGGCAATTTCGGCAAATCCTCCAACTGTGGACCATGTCCAGTAAAACAAGAGAGAGAGAAAACTAGCATAACACTATTTATAATATCAGTCCAGACTGATATAAATAGTGTTATGCTAGTTTTCTCTTGTTTTATTTCTCTTTTTCTATGAGTATTTTTCCTAATTCCGTGGTAAGAAACACTCTCTTTCTCTCGCAATTTCAGAAGTTACAATAACAAATATTTAGTTAATTAGGATATCCTGTTATTTACATACAATAATTTATTATTCAGCATCTCATTTGTTTTACTTAAAATTTGTTTTGTTTGTTTCTTTCCAGGTAAACAGTCTGGAAATCACATCTCCAGAAAACAAGTCGACTCTCCTTGTGTCTGGGCTAAGCTTCGAGGTTAAATCTGGGGAGATATTGGCAGTCTTGGCTACATCCCAACATGAGGCTACTGGGCTTTTGGATGTACTCGCTGGAGTCCGGAAGGTAAATATGATGCCTTGCCCGGTTTCATCGACGGCGACATATATCGATATATTATAACGAGTTATACATGAATAATTCAAAGTTGCGTTACATTGGCTTTAGATATAGGCTGGGCATAAAAGCCTAGCCACTGATGCATTTATTGTTTAAAAGGAATTATTTAATAATCAGATATTTTAATTATCATATTTATGATAATTAAAAATATTAAAAAGAGAAAAAGAAATTAAAAGGATAATCTAATTAAAGGGAGAGAAAATTATAGTATTATAATAATAATGCCCATAAAAATAAATCAGTTTTTAACAATTGTGGATGAGAACGACGACATTCATATGCCTTTAACTAAAATAAGTGGAAAAATTTAAATAATACTAGTTTTTACGGATTTTATCGCGTATATTTAACTAAGTTAAGTCTGCAGTCTGTGAACACGTAAAGGAGCGTCCCGTCACTACATCAGATTTGATAGAGAATCCTCGCTAAAAACACCGATTCCTTCCGAGGATGATTCGCGAGGCCGTTGAAATCAAAAAACATCCTAATTTCAATAGAGAAGATGGCTGGGTGCCACCATCTGCTTGGGATCCTATAATTAATAAAATTAAAACCCAACCCAAGCATACAACTCCAATACTTCAAGATACTATAAGTTCGTACTGCATAGATCGGAACAAAAATTAATAATTTTAATCTATGGTAACCGCGGTTAACTATGACATCTAGACGTTGCACATCTCAGTCTCCCCCGTGATCATGGGCGCTGTAAAGTGCTGTGCTCGAAACGTCGGGTATTAAAAAGTTGGGTGACTTCAATTTGGCACGATCCTGACACACCTCACTCGCCTCCTTCACATCCATATACCTACGCATACATGCTCGTCAGTTAAGGGTACTCCCCGAAGTCGACTGAATACGTATTATTAAGAATTACTCAAAAACTACTGGTCAGATCTAGGTCAAATTTATATGAAAGCGCATGAGAAGCACCAGCTTTCAAATAAAAGAATCATCAAAATCAGTTCACCTAGAAAAAAGATCTGGGTAACACACATTTTAAAAAAACGGTCGAATTGAGAACCTCCTCCTATTATTGAAGTCGGTTGATAATACCTTGTGCATCACTTTGATACTTTCCTTAAGCATCTACTTTAACACTCACTTTTTGTTTTTTCGATGCTCACCAGAAATTATCAGGAGACATTGTGTTAAATGGTCAACCGGTGGCATCCTCTACACTTCGCAAAGTAGCAGCCTACGTACGGAAGGACACGTCTCTATGTCCGTCGATGACCGTAGAGCATACGTTGCGGTTCCACGCGGCTTTGCGGAGGCCTAGACATAACCATAATCAGGTCAAAATGGATGACAGGGATCAGGTGAGTAGGACAACCAGAAAACAAACATGCTTCCTATCTTACAACGTATCCACTACTCCATATCGTCCCGTGGGTGTCGTAAGAGACAATAGAGGGAAACCGATACAGGAGATGCGCAGCAGCGTATACCAGATAACAAAATAATTTAATAATAAAAACTCGTATAGTCAATCCGCCTGATAAGTGCGTGACCTCGTTTTAATACATTTTTAAACTTCTAGAAAGGCATTGTACATTTTCTGGAATTTACATGTAAAAGTATATTAGATTAACCTATGAATAAATTACTAAATCGAACTTTTGAGAGTCAAATTGTTTATTCCTAATATTTATAGAATAAATATCTCTTTTCTTGTTAAAGCTGTTTTATGAATGAAAGTTAATATGTATTTTCTCTCCATTTTTATTTTAATATACCTAATTGTTTTGGTTAACATTTGATTCCAGATAAACCTTCTTATAGAAGAATTGGGGCTTGAACAAGTTCGAGACACAAATGTGAGTCGGTTGACACGTTCAGAAATCCGAAGACTTAACGTTGCCTGTCAACTATTGTTAGACATGGCAGTACTGATACTGGACCAACCTACTAAAGAAATGGACATTTTCGACACCTTCTTCCTCGTGGAATACTTGAGGAACTGGGCTAGTACTGGACGCGTCGTCATAATGTCATTGCACCCACCTACTTATGAAATATTCGCTATGCTTACTAAGGTAAGGGTTAATGTAAAACTTCAAGAGTAACTCAAATAGAAAGTCAAATGATATTTTAATTATAAAGTTGTTTTTATTGAAAAAGATTTCCGAATTATTGTCTTAAAAATTATGGCTGAGCTGAGCTTCTTTATATTTTTTTTTATTTCAGGTTGTTCTGATATCAGCTGGTAGGACAATGTTCAGTGGATATAGAAGAGACATGTTGCCATATTTTGCCTCAATCGACTACCCATGTCCTGCTTTCAAAAATCCATCCGATTACTATTGTATGTACCGATTTTTATTTACCTATTTATATTTTCCATAAAACAAAATATTATATATGTACTCTATGAAAATGTTCTCACCATAGACTAAAAATTATAAGGGTCCCAATATGTTACCTTGTGGCAAAAAAATTATTTGTAAAAGATCCGGTCAAATTGTAACAGACGATTGGATTTAGATAAGTCGTATTCAGAAAACAGCACGTAATAGTACAGCAATTTAAGTTTAAAATTTGATATAAATGAATAAATAATTTGTTTCAGTGGACTTAGTGACTCTAGATGACCTATCAGCGGCCGCAATGCTGGAGTCGTCCGGGCGCATCGAGGCCCTGGCGGGAGTGTTTGCGGGCGCGCAATCGCCGCCGGAGCCACCGCCGCCCGTGCCGCTGCCGGCGCCGCTTCACCGCCCCAACGCACTGCTGCAAGCTTTCGCCCTTACCGAGTGAGTGCCGAGTAATCTACAAACTGAAGGGAATATTAGGTTTCTAGTTACAAGAGGGACGGTCTAGGTTAATGTAATTTTATAGAATCGTGTTTTCATCAAACATAGTACTTAATATTAACCCTCAACTTTACCATTTATTTATTTTAAAATGAATGCTGCATTATTTTCGGCATAATGGAGGCTAAGCTGTTTGAGGTAGTATAGGCTATTAAAACTTTCCCCTAGTTAAGACTAGGGTTGGCACCCGTACTACTACTATTACTACTATTATATATAGTATAGTCCTATATTTCAGTCAATTGTACTATATATTATACAAAAATAATATAGTACGAAAAGTACTATTTTTTTATCCCTAATTCAACTGTCGCTTTGTTATATTAACTGTGATTGGAAATCTGGAACAAGTGTGTTTTGTAGAAATAATTTTTTCCATCATGAATGTAAAATTGAAAGAAGAAAGAAAAAGAGCATGTATTAGTTTAATTAAAATTAATGTTTAATTTATTTTAATAGGAATCTAAATTGCTCAGACTCCTATAATTATTTTAAAAATAAGGCAAGATGGTTAAATCATTAATGGCCAAAGCAAAGAGCAATAACAAATGTATATGGAAAAATACTTCTATTTTATTTGTATTGAGTACATACAGACAAAGATTAAAAATAAATGTGTACTATTTTTAGTTAGGAATTTCTCATAAGTACCATTTTATTGCATCCTTTTTGGGGCAAATATTTGTTCAAAAAAAGTGGCAACCCTAGTTAAGACTGAGATAATTTTGTTGTCTTGGAATAATAAATATCATGGCATACTTTTTTTATATTTTTAATTTTTTGAATTTTGTTAATATTTTGGTGTTTGACAATGCCAACTATGTTTCGATTATTACTTGTCGTATTACGTGCCTTACAGCCTATAAAAGTCCACTACTGAACGTAAAATTCAAGATACCATACTCACCATCTGGATGCTTGGCGGTCCACCACTGTGCGTTTTACTAGGAGCTTTCTTTCTCGTACAACTTTTCCGTGGAATTGTTTACCACCGGCGATTTATTCGGACCGATACGACTTAGGGACCTTCAAGAAAAAAACTTACACCTTTCTGAAAAGCCGGCAACCCACCTGCACTAACCCTGATGTTGCGGTTGTTCATGGGCGACGGTAGTCACTTACCATCAGGTGAGCCGCATGCTCGTTTGCCCCTCTTCTATAAAAAAAAATTATATAATATTCCGATTTTGCCACGATTTTTCATGCCTCGCTTGGCAGGTGGGTTGGCAATTACAGTTTTATTGTAATTTACTTATATTTAATTTTTGTTATATTAAGTTGTTATCAGGAACTCGATGCCATCTCTTATTTGAGTTTTCTTACGTCTTGCGGCACCCACGGGACGATAGTGAATATTCTTACACCGCCATCAATTGGCAATTTGTTATTTTAACCTCCTTTTTGCGGTTCTTAATTAAAATCGTTACTATTTTCAGGAAAAGCTTGTTGTACACCCAAATGGGCACTCTCTCCAATGTAATTACGCGGATAATAATAGCGGCAGTCATGTCACTCGTCACAGGAACCGTGTTCTGGGATCTGCCGGCCACAGATGCTAAGGTAAGTTTTCACAATCACTTTATTATCAGCCAAAAAATCCACCGCTTGACAAAGGCCTCTTCCATTATTCTCTCATCCATTTGTTATTGTTACCGTTTTCTGGCGGATTATCAATCACTATTATATTAAAATATTATACATGTTACTAAACATTTCGCACCTTGGATGCCGCCATGGTCGTCGTTTATTTGGGAAGTTTAAGGCCGAATACGACGTGAATGACCTTGCTCGTTTCGCAACAAACCACGCGCCGTCAGTACCTACGCTTTGTTTATATATAGACATGTATAATACCTATAATCAAAGTCGTACGGGCTTTGATTATATTTGACGGAGCTAGCTCAGATGCAGAGTAATGAACAACACAGAGAGCATTGCTTACTTCTTAAATAAATTTTTCTTATTTATAATATTAGTTCCTATAGATTATACATTCTGTTCTTTATTCGTTATAAAATATTGTTTGAAAAGTTATTGAATTGATAACGATTTTTTTTTTTAATTGGTACATCGTACGTTAAGAACCCCATATAACTGAAAATGTTTGTTCTTGTGAGTCTTACAAGATGCCGTAATGCAAATTGCATAAATAATAAAGAAAAAAAACTAAAAAGTCGGTGATTTCCCCATAGTGGGGATAGGTACTGTGTATGTAAATTCTCACAAGACTACTCCGACTGGTTAATCACTTCACATCCGAAGTATTTCGGTTTTTCTTAATTATGTATTTTTACCCCATGCTTTCGGACAATACATTGACTGACATTATTTGCGGTATCAGTGCTTGCACTACTCTGTACATTCTTTTCCGACTGGGTCTATTTTACATTTTTAGTGTTTCTCACTTGAAACTAGAAAAGTATAAATGATCAGTTTGGCTAATGTAAATGAGTAAAAATGCAACCTATTAGGCAGCCTCAAACAAAAAATTACCTTACAAAAATATAAGTATTAACCTCAAAATACAACATTCGAGCAGCGTTCGTGCGATAAACTCTCTTTGTTTTACCACTTAGGTAACATTTATTTCTTTTCCTACCCATATTTACATTTATAGACACTTAAACGCGTATAAAACAATAAATTAACGATTTTCGCTACAGACACATCGACTGTTGTTATCTTACATCACACGTCGAAGCGCCTGGTAATTTATTACGGCAATTTTTATCTGGCAATATACGATATTATTATTAGGTGTTTTTAATTAAAACGAATTATGTTAATAAATAATATTTTGTATCGAAAATAAAGATAGCAGGTACCTTAGGAATCACAATATAAACATTTTTACATAAAAGAATTTTTCCTAAATTAAAATTCACAGAGTTTTGGAAGAACAATAATTTTATATATCATTTCTTAACATTTTTTTATTTGTTGGTATATTCATTTATTGTAAAATTTTAAAATGACGGTGACCTTGTTAAGGACCCGAACAAACCTACAAAAATGTTTTAAAGCTTAGAATTACTTCAGGTCTAAGTTCTAGTCAAGAGAAATACATTAATTTTCGCCAGTTCTCTTCGTATTCGGCCTTAAATCCGGTATATATACATGATAGTTTTCACGCCATCTATCAGACTATAAGATTTTCCAGAGTTATCCTCAAGTCTCGATACACACAAGCAAAAATGAGTTATTGAAACTAACGCCGCCGCCACCCGTGGTTTTGTGTATAAATAATGTTTCGGTAAAGTTTGTCTTGTTCTGTACTCAATAAAAGATTTAATCTATTAAGTTACACCTTACACGACTTCACTGTTGAAACTACTACCACCAGCGATTTTCCAGGACTGATATGATTACGGGACTTGCAAAAAGAGTCTCCTTCATTAAAGAGGCCGGCAACGCACCTGCTGCAATTCCTCTGGTGTTGCAATATTCATCGGCGGTAGTAGTTTTACGTTGTATAGAATAAGGGAGGCAAGCGATCACACAGTCCACCTGATGGTAAGTGGATGTTGTGGCCCATAGACATCTACATCTATCCTCGATTCAAATGCAAACCCTCGAAGAATCAACTATCACCGTTGACGACTGAGATGGAATGTCTCGCTACCAGTAAAAAGGGTCTCTGGTTCTCTACAGATGTTGTTTCTCGCTGGTATTCTGTGAGTGTGAGAGTGTGGTCCGAGCCGACACAATCTTGTCATATAAAGCTTTATATATTCACCCATACATAGCTCAGTAGCTGCAGCGTGACTCTACCAACTAAATATAAGTAAGGCAGTACTCGACGTTTGTGGTTCACCTGATGGTAACTTACCATATACTAACTATATAACTTACCATCATAAACTCGTTTGCCCCATCTTCTATATTATTATAGAACGACTGCCTCGTTACTCCAGTGATTGTAGTAGTGCGACTGCTGAACATGTCTTGGGTTCGAATCCTGGGTCGGGCCAAAAAGTCAACTATTGAGTTTTTCCGTCAAGAAATTCTCAGTAGCTACCCAGAGTCAGGAAGTTGGCGGTGTCTCGGTGCCTCGGAAAGCACGTAAAGCCGTTGGTCCTGCGCCTGATCTCTCTCCGCTCGTGTCAGTTTACCGAGAGGGAGGGAATAGAGAGTGCACCTGTGCTTGCGCATACACTTGGGCACTATAATTCTGTCCTGCGCCGATGGCTAGTCTCCGTTGAAGCAGGCCGCCGTGACCAAAATTCGGTCTGGAGGACATTTTATTATAATTATTACAATATAATAATATTGTAATTTTTTGCAGCTTACACAAAACGATAGGGTTGGTTTCCATTATTCGGTAATGTGTTTGTCGGCATGGCCGTTACTACTGTGGCTGAGTGCCAGAGAGGCCAGCTCCATGCGACATTACGTGGAAAGGGACATCGCAGTCGGACTGTATTCGAGGCCGGTGTTTATACTTTTTGACGTGAGTTTTTTTTTATTGATAATAATATTTTGCACTCTATAGCAAAACAGAAATTACAATACATTACATATTTAATAAAGTGCTTAAAGTTGTACATTATTGTTCTTCTGCCAATTGTTCCAGCTTCAAAGTATCTTCATTGATACTTACGCACTCAATTGTAATCAATATAACGTTAATGTGATAAGTAGGTGCGAAGTAGACTCGAATGAAATGACACTGCGATTACAAAGACAAAAAAATACTATTTCAAGCATAGAATACTATAATACACAATAGAACGGCTGTCAACCTTATTTTGTACGAGGATAGGCGTCGCCGGGAGCACACATACAAGCAATTACGTTATATTATCAGTTAATCACTACTACAAACCCAATTCGCTGTGTTGACAGACGGATTTTAATACATATTTATTTTTAAATAGCATGCAATTTGACATTTTCTAAATAATTTGCATGCGAAATATGGAAACGATTGTAACGTCAAAACACATCAGCTCGTGTTGACATTTATACGTGTGAATTGACGTGTTAGTGGCATTTTAGTGGCTACACGGCGCTACTCCGCCCACTCCCCCGTTCTATTATGTATGTATTATTATATTACATACATAGTATTCCATGATTTCAAGTCCACCATTTTAGTATTAAAAGACAAAAGCCGTCAAATACTTGAATCGCAACTCGGTTTAAATATTTAGAAGCTGGAGGTTTTAATTTTAATTCATATACCTTGACCATAAAAATCTTTTTCAGCAATTCCTCGAACTTTGGTCTGCGATACTAACATGGTTAGCATACTTGGTGCCAAGTTACGCGATGAGCGGTTTGTACGCGCAGTCACCCGGCTCACTTGACGGTTTCTATATTTATTTAGGTAAGTAAATACCATTTTTACAGTTACAATGTGTGTGAGTGTATGTGTAACAGTGGTAGAGCCACGCGGCAGCTTTGCTGTCGCACGTATGGGCCGGCTCAAACCGGGGTGGTACCACGACCTCACAGAATACCGGCGTGAAGTGGAAGCTCTGCTTCCGCGTTTCGTCTGGTGAGTGCAGGTGGCCGGAGGCCCAAATCCCCCCCCCCCCCATCAACATGGTAGCGGAATTCAATGATAGACTACCCCAGGAGGGTACCAGCACCCCTGGAGAATCCCTCGCTGAGCATCCACGACCATGTTTTTCCACTTCTGAGCGTGGGTGCTCAGGCTGCCCCGCGTATTCTGGGGGGGGGGGGGGGGGGCAAAATTCCGCTCAAGACTAAAACTGCTCGGGGCAAACGGAGCAACAAGACCAAGGCGACCCCTGCCACGCTGTCCGTGAATTTCTGCAATATCAGGGGACTTCACTCCAACCTAAACGCCGTCCACTACCATCTCGAGACGGCGAGGCCGGCTCTGCTCTTTCTGACCGAGACGCAGGTGTCCTCTCCGGCTGATGTCTCGTATCTCTCCTACCCGGGGTACAAACTGGAACACTCCTTTGTGCCTCGGGCTGGAGTTTGCGTTTACGTCAGAGAAGACATCTGTTCTCGACGCCTCGGCAGACTTGAAGGTTCGGACCTGTCCATCCTTTGGCTACGCGTAGACAGCGACGACCATCCGCGCGTCTACGGGTGCCTCTATAGGTCCCACAGTGGTAATGCCGAAACAGACCGACTCTTCGACCACGTCCAAATGGCTGCAGATTCGTTGCTACAGCAGATCCCCTCCGCAGAGATCGTGATCCTCGGCGACTTTAACGCCCATCACGCCGAATGGCTCGGTTCACGTTTAACCGATCATGCGGGGAGATCTGTTCATGATTTTGCCTTGGCATATGGTCTGACACAACTGGTTACTTCGCCTACGCGGATTCCAGATGTGGAGGATCATGCACCTTCCCTGTTGGACCTTCTGCTGACCTCTCACCCGGACGGATATCAGATTTCCGTCGACGCCCCTTTAGGCTCCTCGGACCATTGTCTTGTCCGGAGTGTGGTGCCACTCACGCTGAAATCGCGGTTGCATTCTGCAGGCTGCCGCCGTGTTTGGCACTATAGGTCAGCCGATTGGGATGGGATGCGGTCTTTCTTTGCATCCTACCCTTGGGGGCGGGTTTGCTTCTCGCCGGACGATCCCAACGTTGTTGCGGATTCTGTCGCTGATGTGGTACTTCAGGGTATGGAACTTTTTATTCCTTCCTCTGTGGTGCCCATTGGAGGCAAATCTCAGCCATGGTTTGGTCGCTCCTGTAAAATAGCATCATGCTATAAGCAGGAGTGCTACCAGGCCTGGGCTGACGCATCAGCGTCCAGGAATGTAAACACCAGCGCTCTAAAAAAGAAGTATAATCCGCCTCTAGGTCCTTCAAAAGAGTCATTGCCAAGGCAAAGTCAGAGCACATAGGCAGAATTGGCGAGAAACTAGTTCGTCTTCCTTCTGGAACCCGTACATTCTGGTCTCTCGCCAAGGCTGTCCAGGGGAATTTCTGTCAGCCATCTCTTCCATCTCTGCACAGGGAGGACGACTCACTGGCCCACACCGCAAAGGAGAAAGCCGATCTTCTAGGCTCTTTCTTTGCGTCTAACTCGACTCTCGATGACGGGGGGAGTACGCCGCCGACCATCCCGCGGTGTGAGTGCTCCATGCCGGAAGTGCAGTTCACTCAGCGCTCGGTTCGCAAAGCACTCCTCTCCCTGGACATCCACAAGTCGAGTGGGCCTGACGGAATCCCCCCAATTGTGCTGAGGACGTGTGCTCCAGAGTTGGCACCGGTTTTAACGCGTTTTTTCCGGTACTCCTACTCCCTAGGCGTAGTCCCAAAATCATGGAAGACGGCTTTCGTCCACCCGATCCCTAAAAAAGGCGACCGCTCAGACCCGTCCAACTACCGGCCTATCGCCATCACCTCCTTGTTCTCCAAAACAATGGAGTCCATTGTAAACTGCCAGCTCATGAGGTACCTTGAGGATCACCAGCTGATTAGTGACCGCCAATACGGTTTTCGCCGTGGTAGGTCAGCTGGTGATCTTCTGGTCTACCTAACTCACAGATGGGCGGAGGCAGTAGAGTCCAAGGGGGAGGCATTGGCCGTTAGTTTGGACATTGCGAAGGCCTTCGATCGGGTTTGGCACAAAGCGCTTCTTTCGAAGCTCCCTTCCTATGGGCTTCCCGAGAAATTGTGCGATTGGATCACCAGTTTTCTTGCAGATCGGAGCATCAAGGTCGTTGTAGACGGTGCAAGCTCCGATTGCAAGCCTATTAATGCTGGTGTTCCACAGGGCTGCGTGCTATCGCCAACGCTGTTTCTTCTGCATATCAATGATATGTTGCAGACCCGTAACATTCATTGCTATGCAGATGACAGCACTGGTGATGCTCTTTACACCGGCCGAGCCAATATTTCTCGGGAAAACGTCTCCGAGTGCCGGGACAAACTTGTGTCTGAAGTCGAGTCTCTGCTGGACAGAGTCTCGGATTGGGGGCGACTAAATCTAGTCCAGTTTAACCCCCAGAAGACACAAGTTTGCGCGTTAACCGCTAAAAAGAACCCCTTTTCGTATCCCCTCAGTTTCAAGGCACTCCCCTTGTTGCCTCAGCCAGTATCGGAATCCTCGGCGTCGACATATCGAGTGACGTGCAGTTTCGTGGTCACTTGGAAGGGAAGGCCAAATTGGCCTCTAAAAAGCTTGGCGTGCTCAGCAGAGCGGGACAGTATTTCATGCCGGCACACCGCCTGCAACTTTACAAGGCGCAGGTTCGGCCGCACATGGAATACTGTTCCCATCTCTGGGCTGGGGCTCCCCAGTACCAGCTCCTTCCACTTGACCACATCCAGCGCAGAGCGGCTCGAATCGTCGACGACCGAGTGCTTTCCGATCGGCTCGATTCTCTGGCACTGCGAAGAGATGTTGCATCCCTTTGCATTTTCTTTCGCATATACCATGGAGAGTGCTCTGAGGAATTGTTCGGATTAATCCCAGTCACCAAATTTCGTGAACGCACTACGCGGCAAACGTCCCGATACCATCCACACCATCTGGATGCTTGGCGGTCCACCACTGTACGTTTCAAAAGGAGTTTTCTTCCGCGTACAACCTCTCTGTGGAATAATTTACCACCAGCGATTTTTCCGGACCGATACGACCTGGGGACCTTCAAGAAAAGAGCTTACTCCTTTCTAAAGGGCCGGCAACGCATCTGCAATTCCCCTGGTGTTGCAGTTGATCATGGGCGGCGGTAGTCACTTAACATCAGGTGAGCCACATGCTCGTTTGACCCCTCTTCTATAAAAAAAAAAAATGTGTTCTTGCGTGCGAGCGGGCTTGTATGAACGAGTGCGTGTTCATGTGCGTATGTAAAATCTAGAAAAAGGGAAAAGGCAGTTACATTTATTTTACTCTTAAGAAATTAAATCCTGACCGGTGATGGTGTCAAAGATGTAAGCATGGTGATTACAGAAATTCCTTCTTCGGAAGAGACCCATATACAGCAGTAGATTGTTGTAGCCTAATGAGAGGCTGATGATGAATAATATGAATATTTGTTTCACAGTAAAACACTCGTGAGCTAAACTTAAACACTTAAAATTCCAGGGTATATGCTGCTATACCTAATCAGCATACAGATGCTTTGCCGTGCAATGGTGTTCCTTGTTCCAATGGAGAAGACCTCCTCTGTAGTATCAGGCTTAGTTCTGCTTCTCACCACATTGGTGAACGGCGTGATGCTACACCAACAAGATTTACCTTCGTATGCCCGCTGGCTGGAATACGTCTCCCCTTCAAGATGGACTTTGCCGGAGATTCTACAGCGGGAGCTCAGTGAAATAGCTTTGAAAAGTAGCATCAGTAAAGAAATTAGATGTACCAATAAACAGGTAAGAGTGAAATTATACAAAATATCATATTTATATATATTGTCAAAAATCGATTTTACGTGGTAGAGAAACTATGCAGCTACATTTTGGCGGCTGCACGAACGGGCCAGCCCGACCGGGGTAGAACCAGCAGAATAATACTCTGTTTCGTGTGGTGAGTGTAGAGATCCGGACTCCCCTTGTACTGGAAACGAAACATTACATCTTCATCCTGTCCAGCCTTCAACAACGCATCCGTATTTTGATTCTTAAGGTAAAACCTACGGACTGTTCCCAGCCATTCTCCCGTAAGATGGCGCTGAAGTCGACATTTTTAGTTCTTAAAAGTTTATTTGGATTTTTGTGTAATTGGAAAATTATTAATTCGTAAGAGTAGACATAGCGGTTATCGGATATTACATTTTATTGGAATGGGTCATATCATTGCTCAAAATCCACCCAATTCGACATAAATTTTGATTATAACATCTGTCATTTAATAGTGTCGTTTACACACACAGACGTATCCCTACGTTTACGAAGCTAGAACACTAGATGGCGTGTATGTAAAAAAACAAGTTTTTAATTTTTGTGTATGTGTAGATTGGGTAGGCAGAACTACAAAACGCTATGTACGATTGTTATAAAAATAAAATTTATATTTGTTGGCGTAAACTATTTAATTGATTTATAACTTTGGGAAATAAATTATGTCAACATTGATTACAATATAACGCAGTTTTATTTTATCACATTACACTATTGAATTTTTTTATCAAAACAGAAGTACCTATTTGAAGCAACATAATTATACTGATACATGCCTATTCACTCAAAACTAATAACACTGATGATTTGTAACAGTACCAATTATTACAATAATTAGACATTTCATAACCAACTAAAAACTATAATTCAAAACAGAACCAATCTATAACACGATTTATTTTGTGATAATAACCAGGAAGTTTGAAAATAATATTTCCTAATTTCGAAGCACTCAGCAAAAGCTTTTAGTAAAACAAAAATATAAATCCTATACCTACTAGAGTAATTCTTGTATATATATATAATCGGAATCTCGGAAACGGCTCTAACGATTTTCATAAATATCTATTTATTTATAAACAATAAAGCACGGAACAGAAAAAAGGATTTTATGTAACTGAATTATATTTGTTTCTGAACGCACCATAAGGTATGACGTAGTGACGAGTGAACTTAAGCTCTACAAAATATAACAAACTAATAATGTGTGTCTGGCTGAAACTGTTTGCAAAATGCGTAAAGGGTGTTTAATGTAACCCGGCAAAACCATATTTAGTAAATGTTTACAAGTTTAATTTTGTGACTTTGGTAGTTTACCGATTTATAATAATTGTATTTATTGTTGACCAAAAACATATTCAAACACATTCATATATGAGACACCGACATGTATGACGTAGGTAATTAGTATTGTGACGATATTTCAGAATAAATCACGGGCCAGCCTGCTGTTAATAATACTACCGAAATCATAATTGCGTTTTTGGAATAATTAATTACTATACCTACGATAAATTACAATATAGTCTCAAATATATACTAGAGAAATATTGCAGTTCGAATCAATGAACACATACATACAAAATATGTATAATATACAAGAAATTCCGCGCGCAAATCATAGCGCGTGACAACCGAAATCAGAATATTATATTTTATAACAAGTCAAACAAGTGAACGTACGTAAGTTTGGCAACGCTTTTGTTTCGTCAATTCAAGGTCAGGAATACATTAGTACCGTAGACTTCTCTGTCTACTTTTGGTATTTATGTTGTCACACAACAATAATAAGTAATAAAATTGTTTACATAAAAACATAGGTGTCTGAGGTCATTAGTTTTATGTTATTTTATACTGTTTTTTTAACGGTTGGAAAGGAAATTAACCAATTATTGAACTTAAGATATTGATTTATCAGAATTATTTAAGATCACTTGGATGCCATCTAGCGTGCCAATGTTTAAACGTCGCCTTTCGTTTGCTTGTCAAAAGCCACGCACACTACTAAAGAAGTGTCAAATCGGATACAGAAAAAAGTGAGTATGAGGATTTCATTGTAGAGAAGTGATAAAATGATTAGTTTTAAAGAAAGAGTGTCTGTGTTTAGTGTATATTTTGGTTAAAAAATGTATGGGCGGACGGTCGACGCATCCACCTTAAAACAATTTTTAATTGTGTGTACGCTGAATGAAGCATGCCAAAATTTGTTTTTATTTATTCAAACACAAAAAATTATAGAATAATTGCTGGTATCTCCATTAGGAGGATATAATGATTTTTGGAGCACAAAATGACAAAATAATCGCCAACACTTTCCAATATGGCGCTAATGTATGTCGTCATATGCTGTCCTATGTTTTGGAACGAATCACCAGTATAGCGTAGATTCATGACGTCATTTGCATTGGACAGTACACTGGGTTCTAGTTTGGAACATACCCAAAACATCGGGAGGCATCCTGCATGCCTTAGACATAAAAATATTTTCGAAGAAAACATGCACGTCTAAAGAGCATAAATATTTTGAGGACGTATGAAGACTTCCAACACGCACAGGATCAGTCATCATCATCATTACAGCCGTTACAAACCCACAGCTGAACATAGCCCCCCCCCCCCCCAAGGAATGCCACAAAGCACGGTTCTAAGCCACCTGCATCGACTTCCTGTATGTCTTACCAGGTCGTCACTCCATCTAGTGGCGGGTCCACTCGAGAACCTTTTTTCCCTATTGCCACTTCAGCTTACTAATCCGTTGGGCTATGTCGGTCATTCTGGTACTGCTGCGGATATCCTCATTTCTATGTTTATCACGCAGAGAAAACCCGAGCATAGCCTTCTCCATAACTCGCTGAGCGACCTTAAGCGTTCTCATACAGCCAGCAGTGATCAGTGCAGTGGAATAATTGCTACATAACCTTCTTAATATTGATAGGAGACCTGTGCCCAGCGGTGACATGTATTTAGGCTGTATGTTATTTTACGTATTCCTTACTTTCAATTAGCCGTTTATAAAAACAACCTCTTTTTATTATTTCAGAGACCATATCAAGACATAATAGTACAATCGCCATGCCCACCTCCTAACGGAACTCAAGTGCTATCCAACTACGAGTACTTAAGATCTGACAACATATGGGAGTGGAACGAGCAGAGCTTCCTCATAGCTCTAGCTGTTTTCTATGCGGTTTTCGCTCTAGTCGCCATAATAGCTTTTGTAGTAGACTGTACTAAATACGTTAAGAGTAAAGAGAGGAAGTCGTTAAAGGGGCACAAAGTTACTGTGAACACACCTTAAGGTATAATTAATTATAATATGTGGATTAAAATCATGCTTTCTGAAATGCTGCCGTGTCGTTCTGTGTTGAATAGAATAGATTGGGTTTTTTAAACCCCATTTACATTGAAACTGTAGTCTGAGTAAAAATATCTTTGATATCTTATATTAGTTACATGAGCAGTTTTAACTACTAGTTCCAACTAGTTATAACTTTTTCTTTTAATTTGTTTCAAAATAGCACCCTGCTATTCACGAATTAAGTTTCATTTATGTCCAAAAATTAAAAAACTCCGAGAAACATAAAAAAAATCTGCAATATTAGTCCGAAAATTCTTTTCGCCGGACTTTAAAATATGAGCAATACATGTTGATGAATATAATGTCACACCTGTAATCAGCAAAGAGGGTAGACACGGCCCAAAGAGAAGCAAGCTACTCAGACACAGCTATCACAAAAATGGCTTTAGTGGACCATAAAGAAAAACTTGTACGTTTTACGATTCCCCATTGAATACCCAACTCTTTTAATATAAATTATAGTTTTAATATATAATATTGGTGCTTAATAGGTCACCGTTGGCAGATATTAGGTAATCGATGGTCATATTTGGTGCTACATTATATCATAAATTCTAGCTTAATTAAATTTTCCAAAAATATTTTAGCCTACTTCCAAGTAAATCTATCGTAATTAATTGTATAGATAAACACGCCTTTATGCCGTTGAAATACGAATGTATGATTTAATGAAATAAAAATATACTCGCAAATTTAATAACAAATATTATAATATGATTAAGCAATAACAAAAAAAAATTGTTGAAACGCAAACGTTCAAAGATTTTGTTCCAGTACAAAAACAGGTTTATCAATTAAATTATTATTTTAATATCCGTATTATTATGTTATCGAATAATGAAAAATAACTAAATATTGAAGGCTGACTATAATAACGTCTTCCGTCCATAGTACTAAATTAAAACATTAGTAAGAAATAAGTTAGTCTAATAATATATATTTTGTATAATCTGTATTTATCTTAGTTTTAAAACTATTTTTGTTTCATGGTTGCGTCTTGTCTATTGATATAGAATTATATCTTTCTTCCTTACATATTACAACAGCAATTATAGTAATTAGAAAATAAATAAATGTAAGTAGGTATACTTTATTAAAATTTTTGTAAATAATTGAGTGCCGAATTTATTAACATTAATTAACTCGCACTGCCTTCAGATAATGCTCATTTGATTAATTTGAAATAATACAACCCATTTTCCTTAGAATAAAAAATTAGGTTGAGAAGTTTTTTCGTACACATCACGTCGCAGGTCTATTCCCATTCCGTCGTCCAATACAGATTCATATTAAAGTGAACGAGAATATAGAAGTATGGGTAGTTCATACAAAATCAATGCATGCAAACTAACGCGGTGTTCACCTACAGTAGCAGACAAAAAAACCCGCGTCGGTAGTGCCTTCACTCATGTGATATAATTGTGTTGCCACATATAATTATGTCACATGAGTTAAGAAATTTAGTAGTTTTATTTTAGTAGTAGCAGTTTAGTTGAATAAATATAAGTATATACATATAAATGAACGTTTCTGATTATCCCGTATGTCTTCCTAAACCATTAATCCTATTGGTGAGTAGTACGCGCGCCTGGAAATGCTTCTGACAAAATAGGCATTACACTGCAGATATGTACAACCATACACAAATTATATAAGTATATATATATTTTGTTATATATATTTATAAGGACCTGCGATGTGACTGGTATATCTCAACGATTCTAATTTATATGTTAAGATATATAGTGAAATGTATATGAGCCATAATAAAGGAAATAAAATAATTGGTAAGTTACCTTAGCATGCGATGAGTATCGTGATATAAAATAAAAATTAGTTGTAACAATTTCTGCATGTTTTATTTCAAACACATTTACACATGTTTTGTTTTACATTACATTATACATTTGTTGACAAAATTGATTTGCTTAAAATTATTTCTGACACAGTAACTACAAATACCAATAACTAAAGATGAAAAGTTACAGAAGAGAAAATATTATTTCATACAGTAAAAATATCCCTTTTCTGTTGCAATAAATAAATTATAGTAAATTCATTAACAATAACATATTTCAAATATGAACACCACTAAGATCGTCGTTTTCCAGCATGATTAATATTTCACAGAAGAAACTTTATATGAATAAATATAATAAAGTAGGTAATGTACAAAGAATATAATATAATCACTATGTGTTGGGTTTTATAACGTGATACACCATCCTTAAGTATGCGTCTCTCAAAGATGCATGATGCATAAAACTTCGAGGCTAAACCATGGTATTTCTTCATTAAATAAGATCGTATTATGATTAACAATCTCACCGTGTAAAGGCGGTGTAAGCATATCCAATACCCCATATCGTAACATCTCCTGGTTTGTCTTCCTATATCGTAACGTGATACAGGAAAACAAACGAGAAGATGGGCACCAGCATCTTTCCAATAACAACCAAAAAAATAAGAAGCTGCGGTTGCCAACCCGCGTGCCAAGCATGGCAACTATGGCAAATATCCTGGCATAGGGATGAGGAAATCCATGTAGGAGGCCTATGTTGAGTAATGGACTTACGATAAGCTGTAACGGTATAATTAACAATAAATATTAAATAGGTAACAATTATAATTAGTTAATTGAGCAAGTGGATGAGTTTGTGTATTTAGGATGTGTATTTAGCAGAGATGGTAGATATGATAGGGATATAGAACGACGAGTGAATGCGGGAAATAGAGTAAATGGGGCCCTGCACTCTATTGTGAAGAGTCAAAATGTGTCAAAAAAGGCACGTATGGCAATTCACAATGCTGTGTTGGTCCCTACTTTAATGTATGGTAGTGAAAGCTGGGTGTGGCAGAAGAAGCACGAAAGTAGAATAAATGCTGTAGAAATGCGGTCTTTAAGGAGTATGCTAGGGTTGAATCTGAATGACAGGGTGAGAAATTGCGTGATAAGAGATAAATGTGGTATGCAAGATGATGTTGTGACCAGGATTAAGAAAGGAATGCTTCGGTGGTTTGGTCATGTAGAAAGAATGAATGAGGAAAGAGTGACAAAGCAAATTTATATGGCAGATGTGAACGGCCGAGTCGAGAAGGGACGCCCTAGAAAAAGTTTATCGACCAAATTGGCGATATTTTGAAAAGGGGCCACGTTAGAAGTACCCTTAACCGACGAGCATGTATGCGTAGATATATGGATGTAAAGGAGGCGAAAGAGGTATGTCAGGATCGTGCCAAATGGAAGTCCGTAGTCTCTGCCTACCCCTCTGGGTGACAGGCGTGAGTGTTTATGTATGTTATGTATGTATTATAATATAGTCACCAAGAAATCAAAGTCTACATATAAAAGTCAATTGTATTTTTTTTTATAGAACGAGCACACAGCCCACCTATGGTAAGTGGTGCTTACCCAAATCTACATCTATCCTCATACATCAAAACGATGCGTCACACAACTGATGAATCCTCGTATAAAAGGTCTCCGTTCTCCACACCACCATACAAATAAAATAATACAATCCTCCCCGACACTACTACAATATAACTCAGCATGGCTCTACCACGTATAAATATCCGTTAGTCTCGCAAAAACTCGAAAATAGCTCGAGCAATTCTGTAAAACTTTTTGTGTGTATTTGGGTGTGTCCTTGGATAGTTTAAAAACTTAATCGGGCCCTGTAAGTGACGCTGTTATGAAGATCCAGAAATCACCCGATCAAAGAACTTAATTACAGTTATAAAAAAAACTTTAAGTATGTAATAAATTATGCGTGGTAGAGCCATGCTGCAGTTATATTAGTAGTATAGTTGTAGCACGAATGGGTCGGCTCGTCCGGATAGGACCACGCTCTCACACAATACCAGCGTGAAATAGTAGCCGCTGTTGTGTTTCGTATGGTGAGTGTAGAGAACCGGAGACCCTTTTCACTGGAAACGAGGCATTCCATCTTGGTCCTCACGGGTGGCAACGCATCTGCATTTTGATTTGTGATCGAGGATAGATGTAGATGTCTATGGGCCACAGCAACCACTTACCGTCAGGTGGACTGTGTGCTCGTTTGTCACCCTATCCTATAAAAGAAACTTACAGTTATACTGAAAACTTTTGTAATGCCTCTAATCCATAATGAAAGGGTTTTCATCAAATAACAATCTATATAAATTATAAAGTTCACAATTTTGAGACCATACAGTATTAAAACTAAAAATAATTTATGATTTTAACAAAAAATAAAAATTCAATAAAGTATCTGATAACATACAGTTTAACAAAAATTTTAATTTTCTGATTCGAGTCATGTTCTAAATTTAATATTACACTCGTTGAGTAAGGGAGACGTAGATGAGCTCATCACCCAACTTATTGCTCATGGTAGTCGTAAGGGAGATACACTAGACTAAGGGTAATGCAAAGAAAACATTGTGTTTTCTCCATTTACCCATTGACAGATAGCTACGGGCATAAAATGAAAGAAAACTTTAAAAAAAATTCATCAGAAACGAATACTTAAAATGATATATTAATGAATACTGAAAAATATACTTTTTTTAAACAAACATTTATTTTTTATTCCAACTAGTTCGTTACGATTTTTTTTTGTATTAAGTTATTTTTTATAATAAACATTACATATGTTGTATATTTTATCGACGCTTACATGCTCACTGGACAATCTATCAAGAAGACTTTTAAATGATCTACAGATACCTCCTACATTCTTCAATTTTTTTTGAATTGTCAATTTTTGAAATTTATCAGAACAGACAGATATACTTTCGCATTCGCATCGCATATCGCTCAAGGACTTTTAAAAAAAAGTGGCAACACACAAAGTTATAAAATTGGTTACAGTTTCCAATTTAAGGTGCGATATCCACCTCTTTTTACTTCATCTGAGCACTACTCCCGTTTTATCACCCACTTTATAATTAAATATTGCTAGTGTCCTACATCGAGCCACTTAAGTACCATTACTTTTTTTTTAATTTCATAACATTTTACTAATAAATTTATATTATATTAAGTTCTTCATCACCTATCAGCGGAGTGTGTATGAAACAGTTCGTGGTAACGCCTACATATATCGCACACGCAGGGCTGAACTCGAGTCGCTTGATGTTCACGTCGCGAACGAGTCGCGGAACTGTGGCGCTGCTCGTCCACGTAGCAACTCTCAAGAAGCAACTTCTGTATCCGTTCTTCCTTCGGTAGTGCGGCCCTGGCATTCTCTGATTCGATTTCGATTCTGTAAATAATAATAAATAAGTGTTTTAAGTTAAAAAGTTACTGTCTATATACGTCCCACTCGCATGGGCACAAGAATCCTCTCATTTTTGAGATGGTTTTAGGGCAAGGTAATGTCTGCCGCGCTGCCCCAATGCGAGTTGACGAACTTCACATGTATTTATTTATTTTATTTATTAAATCTTTATTATACACCTTATACGAGGGCGGCACTGAAAATTTCGGGTATCAAGGAAGTGACACAACATTACTATTTAAAAATGTATTTATTGCTTTTCGAAGTATTCTCCGCGAAATTTGACACATTTTTCTATACGATGGAACCAATCATTGAAGCAACCATTCCATTCGGAAGTTGGGGTCTCCAAAATGGCCGTTTTGTAGGCGTCCACAGCTTCTTCAGGTGATGAAAATCTCTGTCCACGGAATTTATTCTTTATTTTAGGGAAAGTATAGAAATCATTAGGGCTTAGGTTCGGGCTGTACGGCGGATGATCTAATAATTCTATGTTTTCTTGCTCTAAAAACTCTTTTGTTCTGTGTGCGGTGTGAGAACTCGCATTGTCGTGATGGAGGATGATGCGGTGCTTGCAGTTCTCTTTACGGAGTCCAGAAACTACCTGTGACAAACAAATGCTAGCATACCATTCTGCATTAACCGTTCTTTGTCCCTCAAGAGGAATAGTCGTAACATGGCCGGTTTTGGAGACAAACGTGGCCACCATTTTTTTGCAACACTCCGTGAACGAACAATTTTTGTTGGATGTAACTCATTTTGAGAAATGAGGGAAGTACCCGTTTATATATTTATTATTTATCCTGTATTATATATTAGATATTACGTATGTATATTTTACTAACTATATATAATCTATTCATTTGCATGTTATTTTGTTTTATATCCTTATTATTTATTTATGAAGTGATTGATTACACCTGCCACAGTTTCTCAAATCATCCAGGGTTGACTGGCAGAGAATGCCATAAGGCATTAAGTCCGCCCTTTATATCCCTTAGTACGAGGGCTGCACTAAAAGTATCGGGAATGGAATATTTCCACTGTTCCTGTCATATTAAAATCTTTTTAACTGAAAACTTCTTGGTTTTAAAAATCGAATACCATTTATTTATTTAAAAAAAGATTCTCGGTCTTGTCACAAGGTTTTGTCAAACTTGTTTAGTCGTTGAGAAAATGGAATTGACTCGAGAAAATTCAAGAGCGATGATTTATTATGACTTTCGAAGTTTAACACAAAAACAGTGTGTTGACCGGATGATTTCTGCATTTGGTGATGAAGCCCCATCCAAAACCACAATTTATCGCTGGTTTGCTGAATTTCAACATGGACGTGTCAAGCTCAGTGATGATCCCCGTCAAGGTCGTCCAAAAACTGCAGTCACCCAAGAAAACGTTGATGCTGTGCGTAAGCTGATTGAGGAAGATCGACATGTGACATACCGCGAAATTCAGGGAACTTTAGACATTGGCATGAGTCAAATACAAATATTCTTGCATGAACAATTAGGTGTAAAAAAGATGTTTTCCCGATGGATATCGCATTCGCTCTGTGAAGAGCAAAAAGCTGCTCGCGTTACTTGGTGCGTCAGAACTCTCGAAAGATTCCACGCAGGATCCTCAAATGCTGTATACAACATCGTATCAGGTGACGAATCCTGGATATACGCGTACGAACCCGAAACAAAAAATCAGTCACGAGTTTGGGTCTTCGAAAATGAGTTAAAGCCAACAAAAATTGTTCGTTCACGGTGTTGCCAAAAAATGGTGGCCACGTTTGTCTCCAAAACCGGCCATGTTACGACTATTCCTCTTGAGGGACAAAGAACGGTTAATGCAGAATGGTATTGAATAAAACTATTATTTACGGATTTAACGCGTTTAATTACTTAAATTTATTTTTATTATTATCCCGACGTTTCGGGTGCTTTACAGCACCCATGGTCACGGGGGTGACTGAGATGTTTGACGTCCCAATGTCATTGTTAGCCCGGCTACCTTCAGTTTTTGAATATTAATTTTTGGTCCGATTTACGCAAAACGAACTTACAGTATCTTGAAGTCTTGCAGTGGTATACTTCAAGATACTGTAAGTTCGTTTTGCGTAAATCGGACCAAAAATTAATATTCAAAAACTGAAGGTAGCCGGGCTAACAATGACATTGGGACGTCAAACATCTCAGTCCCCCCCCGTGACCATGGGTGCTGTAAAGCACCCGAAACGTCGGGATAATAATAAAAATAAATTAAAGTAATTAAACGCGATAAAATCCGTAAATAATAGTTTTATTCAATGTGTAGTGTTCGCGTAAATTTAAAAAATCATTATGCGGAATGGTATGCTAGCATTTGTTTGCCACAGGTCGTTTCTGAACTCCGTAAAGAGAACTGCAACCGCCGCATCATCCTCCATCACGACAATGCGAGTTCTCACACCGCACACAGAACAAAAGAATTTTTTAGAGCAAGAAAACATGGAATTATTAGACCATCCGCCGTACAACCCCGGCCTAAGCCCTAATGATTTCTATACTTTCCCTAAAATAAAGAATAAATTGCGTGGACAGAGAATTTCATCACCTGAAGAAGCTGTGGACGCCTACAAAACGGCCATTTTGGAGACCCTAACTTCCGAATGGAATCGTTGCTTCAATGATTGTTTCCATCGTATGGAAAAATGTGTTAAATTTTGCGGAGAATACTTCGAAAAGCAATAAATACATTTTTAAATAGTAATGTTGTGTCACTTCCTAAATTCTCGAAATTTTCAGTGCCGCCCTCGTAGACACCGACTTAGCGTCACGAATCCTAAAGGGAAGTGAATTCCACAATCGTTTTTTCATGTGAAAGCTGGTGCTTCTCATGTGGTCCCATATAATTTTATCAAGATCTGAACAGTAGTTTTTGAGTTATCCTCAATAATGCGTATTTAATCGATTTCGACTACATTTATGATGTTCTCATTTTATTTATTAGAAGGCGGTTGTACAAAATGTTTAATTTTACCACTTGTATTGGCTATAATGAATAGATGGATGGATGGATAACCAGCTTACCATTCACGTACAAACTATGAAAATTCTACTTAAACAGTTTTAATAAGCAATACCCGTTGTCCTCTGCATGATCCTTAATATTTCCATCTGGTGCATTGCGAATATTGGCACGCCATGGCGTAGAGGAAGTGTTTTCTATATTATATACGTTATAAGCGCACCCTCTAGCACGACGAGCAGGAGAGTGACGTGGCGAGGAAGTTGAGTGAACACGGGATTTATTGTCAGGTCTGTGGAAGTTATAGGATGTATGTTAAAAAGGATTAGTTTATACTGGGTGATGTTTTTTCCCGTCTGGAAAAAAATAGGGCGTAACATGTGAACGGAATAGCAGCCTATGGCACTGATATTTTACAATTTTTTTGCTTTTACATATTATGAAATTAATCTATCAGTAAATACCTACTACTAATTGGGTGTGTATATTCTAATTTCGATAATTTTTAATTGATTGAGTTCGAAATTTTTGTTTTTTTTTTAATTACCGAAAGTTTATTTCAAATTAGTGGTACTTATTGATAGTTTAATTTTATAATATGTAAAAGCAAAAAAAATGTAAAATACCAGTGCCATAGGCTGCTATTACATTCACCTGTTATACCCTATTTTTTTCCAGACGGTAAAAAAAATTATCTAGCATATTGCTGTTCCATTATTAGTCAGCCAGAAATTAGAAGGCTAGCATAGTTAAAAGCTTAACTAAATCGCTTAGTAAAACAAAAATGTATAGGCATAGGTATAGGCATTGTAAGTAAGTACGTATTTAGTTAAACGTTTTCAGTTTTAAATTCAAAGTTATAATCAAACTAGCCGTTGACGCGGTCTTGAGTAATTACTGTAAACGCCGCACTGGCAGAATAACGAACTAAATTAAAATGCCTCAGGAGCTTCTTGATTATGCCATACATTGGATGACCTTTTTTACCGTCTGGAAAAAAATAGGGTGTAACATGTGAACGGAGTAGAAGCATCTTTGACTCTGTCACTTCACAGGGTCACAGGCTAGCGTGTATATTATTTGAATTTCTATAGATTTTAATTTATTTATTTAATTCAAAATTTTTGTTTTTTTTTCGTTCACATGTTACACCCTATTTTTTTCCAGACGGTAAAAAAGGTCATCCAGAATATAAAGGACAATCTTTTAATTAGCCCAACGTTAAATGTGACGCGTTATCGTAATTTTGTTAAGTCTGAGCATATAATTGAATCTAACAAAGGAGCTAACCGTTAGCCCTTATTTAAGCAAGGTGATAAAAAAGATATTAATAACTATCGTCCAATAACAATTTTGTCAGTTTTCTCAAAAATTTTTGAAAAAGCTATGCATAGTAGGCTTAGTCATTATTTTAATGAAAACAAGTTTATGAAAAAAGAACAGTATGGCTTTCAGCAAAACAAATCAACCACGATGGCGTGTTTTGATCTATTAAAAAGAATCACCGATGCAATAGATGATAAGGTAAATGTAACAAGTGTATTTTTCGATATGTCAAAAGCATTTGACTTTGTTTGCCATGACACCTTATTACGTAAGCTAGAAAAGTATGGAATAAGAGGACTGACATTGCAGTGGATAAAGTCATACTTATCATCAAGAAAACAGTGTGTGGAAGTTATAAGCCCTAATAAAAATAATATTTTGACAAAATTCAGATCGCGACTAGTTCTTAAGTACGCTGGAGTTCCTCAGGGAAGTGTTCTTGGACCTTTTTTGTTTGTAATTTATGTAAATGATTTACCGGATTCAACTCCATTCCCATGCATTTTGTTTGCGGATGACATATCTTTAATCATAAAAAATAATCATGGAAATAAAGATTATTATGAAAACGACATAAAATGTGCAATAAATGATGTCATTTCATGGTTACATAATAATAATTTGAAAGTCAATATCGCAAAAACCTGTTATTTACAATTCTATAGTAATAGTAGAAAGAAACTAGATCTTGACGTAAGATATAATAATGACAAAGTGCAAGAAAACGAACAGAAGAAATTTCTGGGAATAAAATTAGATAGTAATTGTAATTGGATGGCTCATATTGACGAAATTTGTAATAAAATTAATAGATTTGTATATGTTTTAAATAGGTTAAGAAGAACATCGTCAAGTCAAACCGCACTCATTGCATACCATGGATATGTTGCAACAATATTAAGATACGGATTATTAATTTGGGGTAATAGCTCTTATTCAAAAAGAGCTTTTATAGCTCAAAAAAAGTGTGTGAGAGCCCTAACTGGGGCCAAATGGTATGATTCCTGTAAGCCCTTGTTTAGGGATCTTAACATACTAACTTTACCAGGTATGTACATATTTGAAGCAAGTGTTCATGTAAAAAAACATTTACATATGTACAAAAATGCATCTGAGGTATACTTGCGTAGCAATCGAAATTCTAATAGACTAGTTATAGAACGTATACCTAAAACTGCATTTTATCATAATGGCTGCTACGCGATGAGTGTAAAAATTTATAATAAACTTCCGGTAAACATTAAAGAAGAGACAGAAACTGGTAAATTTAAAACCAAACTAAAAAAGCTGGCTACTACTAAAGTGCGTTTATGACGTAAAACAATTTTTAAATGAATAATCTTGCTGCCTGAACTTGACATTAATGTATTCTTTTAGACTATTTTTTGTGTAATCTGTAGATTTTGTATATGTACTCTTTTGACATTCTAATTTTTACTTTTTATAATGATTGACATGTTGATTGTATTTTAATTTTATTTGATATTAAATGAATAATGCATATTTAAATTCTTTGCTTGTAATAATGATTGTAATTTTAACGTTTTTAATTTATATTCTTTGTTTTAAATTAATCAATGTAGGTACATGACTATGTCTTTTCGTTTAATTAATAATTTTCGCATGCCAGATGCGGTAAACATGTGGACTATATACAATATCCAATATTTGTCACCTCTAATGTACCATGTTTAAGCGAATAAATGAAATTATTATTATTATTATTATTATTATTATTAAATTAACAGGTTTCATAATTAACATTCCCATTATAAATGATAACAGTTAATAGTAATAGAATAAATTCACGGGTCAAATGAATAATGACGAGTATATAAAAACCGATACGAATACACACAAATTTATTTCAATCATTTGATTCGCGCTAAAATACCAACAACGAGTAGAGAACCCGAACAATACTCGGGCCGAGTAACGAGCACACCCGAACAAGTTCATTACATGTTTGTGCCTATTCGTCTGTGCTCGGCGAGTATATAAACGTTCCATTATATTCACGCGAACACTAACCATTGAATGAAAATTTTACGAATTTTACTACTTTTAAACTTATGTAATTTCTTATAATCTCCTTGGGACCTTATAATTAATAAAATTACATCCCAACCCACGCAAACAACGGCAAGACTACAAGATACTGTAAGTTCATACTGCGTAGATCAGAACAAAAATTAATAATTTTGATCTGGAGGTAGTCGTGGTTAACTATGGCATTGGGTACGTCGAACACCTCAGTCCCCTCCCCCCGTGACCATGGTGCTGTAAAGTGCTCGAAACGTCGAGAATATAAAATAATTCAATTAATACACGCGATAAAATTCGTAAAAACTAGTTTTATTTAAACTTATAGTTTTGAGACACTTTCGCATTAAAAACCGTAAAATTAATTTTTAACTTTAATTATTACTGTGGTGTCCACTAATTTAAGTCTAGGGTTTTAGTAAAACAACTATATCAGTAAGTAGGTACACAGCATAACGACAACGTCCTCTCGCCACCGATGACAGATCGGCAATGCCAGTGAGGCACCACCGTTGGTCTGTGTATTATATTTAATTATACATATATCACAATTACTATAATAGTTTCAATACATTCGGTTACGTTGGTATTCCTGTCTGAAGGGTATCATAATTACAGGCTGTGAGGAATAACCATAGAATACTATAATACATACATAATAGAACGGGATAGTGGGCGGAGCCCGCTTAGCCACTAAAATGCCACTAACAAGTCAATTCACACGAATAAATGTCAACACGAGATGTGTTTTGACGTTACAATCGTTTTCAAATTTCGCATGCAAATTATTCAGCCAAATTGCACCCTATTTACAAATAAATATGTATTAAAATTTAATGATGATCTTGAACGTTAATCAAAAGTCTAAAATGTGTAAATTTACTCGTCTGTCAACACAGCGAATCGGGTTTGGAGACGCCAATCATCGTATAAAATAAAGTTGACAGCCATTCTGTTGTGTATTATAGTATTCCATGGGCATAACATCTTAGTCCTCAAATGAGACAATACATCTGTAATACTCTGTTTAAAGTTGGTGGCAGTTATCCAGTAACCACTTACCATGACGAGAACTGTAAGTCAGTTTGTTATTTTAGTTTTCGAACAAAAGTTTGGTTATTTACTTGGGACAGCCGCACGTAACGTTGGTTTCTCTCGGCTCGAAGCTGCAGCACGATCTCGATCCACCGGACCTCGACCGCGACCGAGATCTAGTCGTTGAAAGTGGACGTCTGTGATGATGGCATTTCACTCTGAAAAAGTTAAAAAATACAGTAAAGTTACAGCATATACACGTCTCACTGCTGGGCACAGACCTCCTCTCATCTTTGAGAGGGTTTTAGGGCAAGGAAGTATGCACCGCGCTACCACAATGCGCGTTGTGGAACTTCACGTATCTTCGAAATATTTTTTCTTATTCCTCAGACATGCAGGTTTCTTCACGATGTTTTCCTTCACCGCCGAACACGTGGTAAACCAGCACTTAAAATTGCAATAAACAATTTCATTGGTGCCGGCAGGGATCGAACCCGGGTTGTTTGCGTACTGTGAAATTTATAGCGAGCACTAACCATCTCAGCAACCACGACTCTTTCAAACATTTCGCTCTGAAAAAGGTCGTTTATATTTTCGGGAGAAGAGCTAAGGTAATTTTGCACCAGTTTATAAAAGACTAAGGTAAGACCAATGCTATATATATATATATATATATATATATATATATATATTATATATATATATCTGTTTGAAGCTAAAGTACTTACCGTGGTAGCTACAATGGTATCTCATCAGTAATCATCATAGAATACTATAATACACAATAGAATGGCTGTCAACCTTATTTTGTACGACGATAGGCGTCGCCTTGAGCACACATACAAGCAATAACGTCGTATTATAACTACTACAAACCCCATTCGCTGTGTTGACAGACAGATTTTAATACATATTTATTTGTAAATAGCGTGTAATTTGGCATTTTCTAAATAATTTACATGGGAAATTTGGAAACGATTGTAACGTCAAAACACATCTCGAGTTGACATTTATACGTGTGAATTGACGTGTTAGTGACATGTTAGTGGCTACAGGGGCTCCGCCCACTCCCCCGTTCTATTATGTATGTATCATGGTATTCTATGGTAATTATAGTACCAAATGCATCGAAGGTCTCCTCCGTAGATTGCCTCGTAGAGGGTATATTTCACAAGGGTGAGTAAACGCTGTTTTTTTAATATAAACTAGCGATCTGTATTCTACAGCGGTACCATCGGCCGGGACAAACTATGCCTATAACCGAGAGAAGAAGGTTAGGTTACCCTCACGTATTTTTATTATAAACTAGCGATCTGCCCCGGCTTCGCACGGGTGATATCTGTATTCTACAGCGGCATCACCGGCCGGGTCAAACTATGCCTATAACCGAGAGAAGAAGGTTAGGTTACCCTCACGTATTTTTATTATAAACTAGCGATCTGCCCCGGCTTCGCACGGGTGATATCTGTATTCTACAGCGGCACCACCGGCCGGGTCAAACTATGCCTATAACCGAGAGAAGAAGGTTAGGTTACCCTCACGTATTTTTATTATAAACTAGCGATCTGCCCCGGCTTCGCACGGGTGATATCTGTATTCTACAGCGGCACCACCGGCCGGGTCAAACTATGCCTATAACCGAGAGAAGGTTAGGTTACCCTCACATATTTTTATTATAAACTAGCGATCTGCCCCTGCTTCGCACGGGTGATATCTGTATTCTACAGCGGCACCAGCGGCCGGGTCAAACTATGCCTATAACCGAGAGAAGAAGGTTAGGTTACCCTCACGTATTTTTATTATAAACTAGCGATCTGCCTCGGCTTCGCACGGGTGATATCTGTGTTCTACAGCGGCACCACCGGCCGGGTCAAACTACGCCTATAACCGAGAGAAGATTAGGTTACCCACACGTATTTTTATTATAAACTAGCGATCTGCCCCGGCTTCGCACGGGTGATATCTGTATTCTACAGCGGCACCACCGGCCGGGTCAAACTATGCCTATAACCGAGAGAAGAAGGTTAGGTTACCCTCACATATTTTTATTATAAACTAGCGAACTGCCCCGGCTTGGCACGGGTGATATCTATATTCTACAGCGGCACCAGCGGCCGGGTCAAACTATGCCTATAACCGAGAGAAGAAGGTTAGGTTACCCTCACGTATTTTTATTATAAACTAGCGATCTGCCCCGGCTTCGCACAGGTGATATCTGTATTCTACAGCGGCACCACCAGCCGGGTCAAACTATGCCTATAACCGAGAGAAGAAGGTTAGGTTACCCTCACGTATTTTTAAATCTTATAAAATTGTTAAATGGGTTGAAAAGCGACGCATCCCCAATACGAGTGTGGAAATTACTCTTTGGGACGTCTCAAATATTTAATGTTTGAGATATAAAAGTATTAAGAGGAGAATGGTCTGTTTAGTGGGATGATAAGCGAAAGTGCAAGCAATATGTTGATAAAGTTTTACCACAATCTCATGAACGATATGGCAGCGCATAATATAGAGCCGTGGTAACTCAGATTCGATGTTCGATCCGGGTTCGATCCGCGCCGGCACCAATGAAATTGTTAGTTGCAATTTTAAGTGCTGATTTACCACGTGCTCGGCGGTGAAGGAAAACATCGTGAGCGAACCTGCATGTCTGCGAAATAAGAAAAGAAAATTTCAATGACATGTGAAGTTCGCCAAAACGCATTGGGGCAGCGCGGCGGACACTTTCTTGCCGTAAAGCCCTCTACTCCAGTAATTTTAGGCCAAATTAGGTGCATATCTCGGAAAATCGACATACCCAGTATATTACCACATAAAAACTCGTATTTTGGCATCCTAAAACAGTTCTCAAAATTCACATATAAATGGATGGTCGCAAGTTTTAAATATCAGGGGTCAAAGGTTACAAAAATCGATTTTTTTACATTTTTTGCAAATATCTCGTTTTTAAAAGTATCGAGTTTTACGCTATTTGTATTTATTATCAATATTGTAGAGAATTAAATTCTCTACAACTTTTTATTTAGCATTTTTATACCTTGAATTGTTTTCGAGATAGAGGGCCTAGAGCGCGCGGTCAGAGAATTATCTGAGGTCAACTGGTAGTCTCGAACAAAAACTCGTAATATTAAGGTTATAATTTATTGTTAAACATATAATTATCATTTTTTATTAACTTTTAGTTTAAATTCAATCTTTCTTTCTAATAATTCCAAAATTCATCAATTCAATAACACTCATAATCTCTTTCGGTAATTGAAAAATTACTAAGGGAAATATTTTAATTACTTTGTAATTATATTCTCATTTACACTAATAGCATTTGAAGTAGAAAATAATTAAGTACATCTTATTTAAAATCTGTAAATTCTTAAATACAATTTAAGTACTTTCCTCAACAATTTCTTAATTATATGGCCAGGTAAGTGTTATTAAATAAATTGACACTTTAGATAACCAAAAAAGGCCCTCAATCTCGAAAACAGTTCAAGGTATAAAAAAATGTTAAATAAAAAAGTCGTAGAGAATTTAATTCTCTACAATATTGATAATAAATACAAATAGCGTAAAACCCATAAAAACGAAATATTTGCAAAAATTAAAAAAAAAACGATTTTTGTGCCCTGATATTTAAAACTTGCGACCATCCAATTATATGTGAATTTTGAGAACTGTTTTAGGATGCCAAAATACAAGTTTTTATGTGGTAATATACTGGGTATGTCGATTTTTCCGAGGTGAACCCCTTATAATGACTGGACTACTCTCAGTAATGAGAGGAGGCCTGTGGCCAGCAGCGGGACATATATAATAGGCTGTAACTTTAATTTTCATATACGAACAAACAAACATTAATTTTTATGTATTCGATAAGGTATTTTCTTATCAAGAAGATGCTATTCACTATCTCCTCTTTCAGTTCTCCGCTATCACCTCTTACTCGAACTTTTTTGCACCGAAACTACACGGTGCTTTCCATCTCTCCATCCATGTCAATATTTTTATCTATCTAAATAAAAAGAGCTTTTTCGCCATTGCTAAAAGACCTGCTATTTTGATGAACCCAATTTTACGATAAGATAAATTGCTGCATAAATAAATAGCAATAATATGTCATGATGATTATAAACTAAACACTCGTAGTTTCGTTTGTGGTCATAAGTTAAAGCATCTTCAACAAAGAATAATAATAGTAATTTGAATGACCGAATTTCGGTCACCGCGGCTAGTCTCAATGGAGACTAGCCATCTACGCTGGATAGGATTATAGTGCACGAGTGCGTACGCAAACACAAGTGCACTCTCTATTCCCTAACTTACTTCCATAATTCTCTCCTCCTCTAATTCTGTGTTACCTATTTTTGTCACCAAATAGAAGTGCTAGCACTGCTGTGTACCTGTCTATAGGGTATAATCCAGTATAATTACAGGCTGTAAGGCGTTCCATCTTAGTCCTCAGAGGTGACAAAGCTTCTGTAAGCTTCTCTGCTTGAAGCTGGCTGCAGTAGCCACTTGCTATCAGGTGGAATGAAGTTTCCTTGTGTCTTCACTTTTTGAAAAATTGCATGTCAACAAACATCTAGACCTAGAACAGCGATTGCTTAACCCCGGCGCCACTAAATCGTTAAATATTTTATTTATATCGAGAGTTAAGACCGATTTACACTTCGACAAGTACAGTAGCGAGTTAACTTGCGAACCTGGTGAGTTAAGTTTGAACATCGTTTGAACAGCAATAAGCGAGTTAAGTTGCAAGTTAACGATTAAGTTGAACGGGATAGCCAGCCGAGCTATTTTTCGGTGAGTTAAGTGCGAAGTGCTGCCCTCCCACGCATCTCCCGCCACCCGCAACTAAACTCGCCGTTCGTGTAAACTAGCGAGTTTAGTTCAGTGCATATGTTGACAGGACGCAACGTTTGCGCGCCAAAACGTACACAATTGTACTTTTATAATTAAACTCGCCACAAAGTTTGTACGATACTGTTTACTGAATATTTATACGATTTATATTGAGTTTTAATAATAAAATGGATGGAAGATGTCATGTATAAAACAAATGTTTATATAATAGTAGAAGTTCAAATTGTAAAATTAAATCTACTCGAGATGCTGCACTCATGAAAATTCTTAAAAACTTCTTTAACAACAACCATTAATACTACTCTGACGGGATCATTTAATTCTTGAAGTAATCCTAGAACTATCTTAAACGAAAACCAGAAAAATTCTGTAGTCTTGAAACGTCATACTCCAACGAACTCTATGAATATGAACTAATGTCCTTAACTAAACTCGCCACGAAGACATTGTTTGAACGCTACTGCCCACTTAACCGTTTACTGTCAACTGCCCTGTAACTAAACTCGCTACTGTACTTGTCGAAGTGTAAATCGGTCTTAAGTTGTTTGTTTATTTGTTTGGGGCTATAGTTTTCTTAATATATTGGTTATAATATACGGCTTTGCTTTTTTGTCTCTGTCCTCCTCTTAGTTTCGGTTTTATAGGGCAGCAAAGGTTAAGGTTAGGTTACCCTACCGTATCTTATTTTTAAATCTTATAAAATTGTTAAATGGGTTGAAGAGCGACGCATCCCCAATACGAGTATGGAAATTACTCTCTTACTCTATTTGATTTTTGAGAAATAAAAGTATTGAGAGGAGAATGGTCTGTTTAGTGGGATGATCATAATGTATCATTATCCAAATTAAGCTTTACCTGTGATAAAGAGGTGTGTGGCAGACCGGTTTCTGCCTGTAGCCGTTGGGATCTGGTATCGGTACGCACTGACATTTGGTGGCCTTGTTCAATACGTTATTTGATTGACTCCAAATCTCATCTATCCTTACTTTAGTCGCTACTTCAATTTTGGGCGACAGGATACCCTGAAAAACGAATCACTGGTAATTTATTAATATTATTTGTGATAAGTAGACTTCTATGTACTTATTACTGCTACTAGTCCGGTAATTGTGTCCGGCAAATCCAGCTTTAACCGCAGGGATGCCGGCAGGTAGTCGGCACGGTAAATATGCCACGCTGTTGTAGATTACACTTACTGTTTTTATGCCAATACGAAATGAATTTACACGCTTATCTATGCAAATAACACTTCCACTGGTAGATAGATAATGTTATAAGGTGGCGTGGCGCAGTAGCTTAGCAATGAGTTATAGTGCCGAGGCCGCGGGTTCGGATTCCGCACGGAACAAGAATTTGTATGACCTACAAACAATTGTTCCGGGTCTGGACGTTTGTCCTTGTGTAATTTATGTATGTAAACTGCCTCCACGATATAGGAGAAAATCCTAGTGTCCCCCACACGTCACATACGTTTTTTTTTTAAGAAAGAAAATGAGTAACTTAGAGCACTTTTATTTTAGAAAAAGAATAAGGGTACAATTAAAACCCGTGAAATCCAACGGTAATAAATTCCACGCGGGCGAAGTCGCGGGGCACAGCTAGTCCGAAATGAACTTCGAATCACGTTGACAAATAGCCCACATAAATAATGATAGCGTTTTCTTAGACATAATAAAATAACATTAAAGAAAATCAGAGTTAGATTGTCGAAAACAACGTTCGCCTATCACAAAACAAAGAACTTATCTTCACGAGATTCAAATGAGGTAACTCACTCTTTGTTTCTTAGTTCTGGTTTTGTGATCGTTTTTCCATATCGAAGTGCAAATTTCATTAGATTAGATAATTTTGAAAATTATGCTGCTAGTTAAACTGCTAGTTTTTGTACATTGGAATGCTAGAGCTATCATTATGCTTGTCACACTTAGGATTTGTGAAAAGGGCAGAAACCCTTCACTAATTTTATAGAAATATTAACTTTGTCGAAAAAGACCAGAACGCCCGTCTTAGTACTGGTAGTGATATATTTTCTAAGAAATAAAAGGACAAAAAAACTGTGCCTCTCTTTCACTTTGTCTCTTTTCACCCTGTCTTAGTTCAGGTATTAGAAATCCGGACTACAGGGTCTTTATGCGCGTAACGCGTACATCAACGGAGTCTTACCCGGTTAGCATGTCCCGAGAGTAGGTAGACCAGCGGTACGATTTGAGAATGAAGAGCAAGTACTGAGAGAGTTACGAATGGTCTCTGGTATTAGCCAACGCCAAACATCCCGAAAACTGGGAATTCCATGATCGACGGTACAGCTTATCATTCAAAGAAATAGATTACATGCTTAACTGTTTCCTATGTTTCGTAAGGTGAGTGTAGAAAACCGGAGACCCTTTTAACTGGAAACGAGGCATTCTATCTTAGTCCTCAGGGGTGACAACGTATCTGTCTATTGGCCGCAGTACCCATTTACTATATCTGGTAGGATGTGTGCTCGTTTGACACTCTTATCCTATAAAAAAAAGAAAACTGCGACAAAACAAATGAACCTTATATTAAAAATAGAAGTACGTGAAAGCTATAACCGTAACAATGCTATGTAATTACTGGGAAATCCTTAGACCTCCGCATGAGCAGATCGACGCCATCACTGGAGCACATATTGGGCGGAAACAAGACGTCGTTGAGTGCGCCTAAATACTGCGCCAATATCACGCATTCGCCCGACACGCAGTCGTCACTCCACTGCACCAGTTCACAATATATCGTTTCGTCTTCTGCAACATTATTTTAAAATGTATATAAGTAACTATCATTGACCAAACAAGGCATTTGTTAGAAACGGAGAGATGTTAAAAGATAATCCATCAAAATTAAAAAAAAATCTCATCTCGTAGTTGTTGACGTAAGAGAAAATGACGGTAAAACCATTAATAACAATGATCATAATGTTGTTCCTCCTGGCTAATTTAAACCACAGTGACTACTTCCAAATATTGTAGAAAGCTATCAATCGCGTTCTTGATCATTTATAATCACACGCGGTGAAGGAGCAGCAAGCAGAGCAGCGAAAACTGACTTCCCGACAGCTGTGTGTACATGACGTAGAATATAGGATTTACAAAAGTATGTTTATGGTTACACGCGAGCAATATGGAATGAACGATGATCTCAAAGGTAACTCACAAGCGATAAGCGGTTTTTGCTTTAATCAATAATTGCTCTCATGCGATTGCAATGGAATAGAGTCGATTGGTTTTGTCTCTCTTTTTTAATTCAAAATCGCGCTATAGACGCGCACAATTATGGACCAAACACACGGTTAGTTCAATTATCATTCCAACTGATAAGTTCAAACTAGGACTGTTGATATTTTTTAAAATATCGGATTTTCGATATCTCGATAAATAAACTTATTGGTTGCGCCAAAACGCATATTTTGTAGACTATATTAGCTGGTAGTATTTCCTCCTCATCACTTCCGTCTCCTTTCCTGCACGGGCACGCCTCCATAGGAGGCCAGATATGTCGTCGCGTCGCGCGACACGGCCGATCCTTCATTCCAGATATAAATTTAGTCAGTAGCGCGACCACTTATAAATAAAACTCCGATATTTATAAATTTATAATTATCGATATATCGAAAATCCGAAATTTTAAAAAATATCAACAGTCCTAGTTTGAATTGATCAGTTGGAATAATCAGTTTAACTGACCGTGTGTGTCGTCCATTATATTCGAGGGTTAATTTTTATTAGTTTTGAGTTGAGGCAATCTATAAGGGAGGCCTAAATTCAGCCGTGGGCTTTATATGCTGTAATGGCTAGATGGACAGACGCATTTGTGCAATTTTCGATCTATATCTTTAATTTATGAGTGATGCCTATGTTCAGCATTGGACTTTCGATAGAGTGTAATGAATGATGAACAATCATCCAAAACATTACAGCCTTTCAAAAGTCCACTATCAAACATATGCCTCCCCTTATATTTTCTTATAACCTTGTGACCACTACAATGGAATGATAAAGCTTGTTCCATGCCTTAAATTACTCCATCCACTTTCTTGGATATAGGTCTTTCCAAGAATGTGCTAGTTGGAATGTCTTACTTTGAAGATTTGGCTACATAGACCAGACTAGGCAAGGATTAACAAGTGCAGAGCCGACACTCGGAGTCCGATAGTGCTGGTTTACATCACTCGTCTGTGGAATTTTTCTATTGATTTTCCGCCATTAGTGAGTCGCTAAATCCTCGTTCATTAATCAGTCGGTTAATGGCATGGAGGTGAGGTTGGCATTTAGGGAAAAAAATAAAGGGTGATCCCTTAGTCCGTATAAATCATTTTTGATATAACGTTTGGGTGAAAAATTAACTTAAGAGTCCACATGTTAGTTCATCAGCTACTTCAGCATATAATAATAATAATAATAAACATTTATTAAACATTTATTTCTCCCACTTTTTACATAATTACAATAGTTTCATAAATAGTTAAAAAGTTTTTGAGTAGTAGTGAGAGACAGGAGCCCAAACTAGGTTACCCTGTGCTATGGGTCTCCTGGCTCCCCCCTCTTGGCCTTATTACATACTTTTCGATTATACTGTTCTTAGACATGAATTGAGCGTTGCATGTGGAGATCGTCGTTAATGGCATGGAGGTGAGGTTGGCATTTAGGGAAAAAAATAAAGGGTGATCCCTTAGTCCGTATAAATCATTTTTGATATAACGTTTGGGTGACAAATTAACTTAAGAGTCCACATGTTAGTTCATCAGCTACTTCAGCATATGGATATCTGCAACCAACTTCAAACAAAGAAGCCTAAAGACAAGTTGTCATATCTGAGGACTAAGATGGAATGCCTCATCTGTATACTGTTTACACCAGAAAACAGCAGGGCAGGTACTGCTATTTTGTGGTTGAAATAGGTAAGGAAGAGTGGTACGTACCTGGACGGTCACCTAGGCAAAAAAGAAGTTTTACCACTTAGTATAATCTAGTAAACTATGCTACAGTTATGATAATTGACTTTTAAAATGAAATTAACATACTAACTCAACAAACAACAGATGTTGTTAAGAGCACAAGTCTCCTGGAACCGCTTCCGAAAGTAGAACACATCTTTGAACTGAAGAGGGAAAACGGGTGGTAGCATACATGTCTGGTAACTTGTGCCAAGTGCAAACACAGTAAGTGAAACACTGCCGGCCTGACATAACCAAACGCCTGGGCATGATACCTAAGACAAAAACCAACTAATATATTATTGCTACACTAGTATATTACGAAACATTTTATATTAGTAATCAAAGTCAAAGTTAAAACATTTCTATTCAAAATTGGCCTAGAGAAAGCTATACATTTTTTGCAACAAGTCTCAAGTTCCGAAAGGCCTTGTGCTAAGGTCAATATTCACTTACCAGCCTGTATTGAGTGTATAGTCTAATCCTTTGAGGAATGTGTCATTTGTTACATTCTTGGATGGGTTTGTATCCAATAATGGCTAAAATATAGAAACCTTGAAGTTGTTGATAAGGTATTACCTTTGACAAATTGGTTGACTAGATAAGTCCAACTTAGACAAAAAGGTCAATCAAAGGATCTACCTCAGTTGTACAGCATTCTGTAGATTATGCATTATATACATATTGCACATCTCCTCGTCACATATTCCGTGCAAAACAAGTAAAAAACAAGAGTGCACAACCAGTGCGTGTGGCCATTTGCATTAAGGAGCTCATGGTTGCTCATGAAGAGGGCTATGCTAGGTGTTACTCTGCATGATAAATTTCATAATAAATATATCTGCAGTAGAACCAGGTTGATCAATATAACCCAACAGATCAGTAAGCTGAAGTGGCAGTGGGCCAGCAATATAGCTCAAAATACTGATAATTGGTGGGGAACAAAGTTTCTCAAGTGGCAGGCAATTTTGTACCAGTAAGCAAAGTGTAGGGGAGTCCCTTACTAGATGGAGCGACAACCTACTAAAATATACAGGGTTCAAGACCATGTTTTGTGCTTTTTGAGGGCTATGTTCAGAAGTGAATTTGTTAATGTAGTAGGTAGTAAGGATAATGATTACGTGAAGTCATTGTATAAGTGTGTAAATTGCATAGATTTAGTATAAACATATTATTAATGTCATCCTCATGATCAATTATTGTATTGTGATTCTTATTACAAGTCATAACAACTGACAATAATTAAAATACCAAAAATGCTTTTAGACGCTTGGAGTTACAGAAAAACGCCAGTTGTAAACAAAATTAAACTAAGTTAATTTTCCCAATTTTAATGAATTACATAGGACCACACTGAAAGTTCTGCACTCGTGGCTTCTTATAAATGATTGAATTACAAATGTTAATTTTCTAAAACTTAAGAAACTCTTTTTTGGCAGGAAGCTGCATGTGAATTGTTTTATATCAATAGCCAATGAGAACATAAAATATGATAATGTTTTAGATACCAATATGGTAACAAATGCAGATACAGCCTTGGTAATTTTACACTATTGCGGTCACCTCATTTTTTGGCTCTAGAAAATCGAAAAATCATCTGATTACGATGATTTTTTTAAATCTTCGTCTCTATGGCGAATTTATGGAAAATATCTCATCTCAAGATTTCATACAGTTTTATGATTCCAAATGTAATCTTAAACGCACTTATTAGAATATAATCGTTCATAACTTTTTTGCAAAGCATTAAACGAAGTTTATATTTTTTTTGTTAATCTACACAAAAAAACGAACATTTAAAAAAGAGAAACATTGAAAATGTTTGTTTATTAATTTTTTATCTCAGCTATTGTTTTTATATGGTTTTCTGACTTAAAATGTTATCATAAACACTCTAGAAAATCGAAATAACTATAAAAGTTAATATTTTGGTATTTTATTGAGTGTAAGATCGAACAGAGCTAGCTCGGGGCTTAGGGCATCCTAACTCAGACAGGTAAGGTTATAGGGAGACGGTGGGATCGAGTGAGCGAGCAAAGCGAGCGAATAGACCCTGCCATCTCCTTCATGGTACTACTCAAAAGTACGGGAGAGAGTTGGGGGAGGGAAGCACCATGCCACTCAACGTAGCGCAGTCGAGGAAAGCCCAATAACATTTTACGAATTTTTACTTACCAGGGCCCCGTATCATTGATGCGGCTGATACGGTGGTAGCTACGCCCCTGATTTTAAGGCTAATTTGTAATCTCAAGTACCCACTACTTTATAAGGAATAATTTTATTTGGTTTTTAATTTTAAAAAACTGGTATTTTAGCATGGAGTACCCTTGCACCCCTGTGAAAGAACAAGAACTACGCCGAATAGTCTAGGATCCTAGAGTTATTTCATAATAATGAAATAAATTACCTTTTGAACATCAATTTCAACAGTTAACTCAATATTTTTTGGCATTATATAATGTCACTTTAAAGATTTACGATTTTTCAGTGAAAACATGCTTTTTGTTAAATTAAAAACATTTAAACAAAAATTTAAAGGGCTATACAAATAGAAAATTCGTAAGGATTGATTACAAAATACAAACTTTGTGATTTATGACGATGATATGACAATGACACTAAGAGTGAGAGGCACCAGGCAGTTGTCAAGGCAACGGGTGTTTATACAGACTCCCAAGAGTGCAAGAGGTTACGGTGCTTAATGCTCGTAGACAGAGAAGTGGGATAGACGACTTTTTCGAGGTTATAATATTTACTAAATAAAATTATTTTAGACTTTAGAGCTACTGAGCAGTTTAGTTTTTCATGGACCTAGAGAAACCTAGTCAATGGGTGCGTTTGGCAGAAAAAAGCGCTAGCAAGCGCTTACTAGTGCTAAATAGTTTTCGGCCAGGACACGATTGCTACTTCAGTAGCGCTGACACGGTCCCGCCATTTTGCTTATTTAATTTGTTTGTTTTGAAGTAGAGATTATAAGTTGTTTTTTGCAATATTAGTTTTAAGTAATATAATGACATGAATAGACATATACATGTTATTAAAAATTCATGATTGGTAAGTTTTTAATATGAATACTTCACAAACATATATTTAAATTAGGTTAAGGTTCCCCGGTTAAAACTAACATCGTGTCCTAGAGGAAAATAGCTACTTACGATTTGACAGCGCTTACCGCTTACGATCGCCATTTTGCTTACAAGCGCTTGTTAGCGCTTTTTTTGCCAAACGCACCCTCTGTCTACGGTCTACGTAAACAAATCGTAAAAACTAAAAACAACTCTGTCAACTGTTTATGATCTGATCTATGGAAACCTGTTATGAGTAGAAACTTCAAATTCAAACCAAAACCTTTAAAAACCTTGAAATACGAACAACCTAAAACACAGTAATTGATAACAAAGTTTTAATCAATACGTTTGAATTAATGAGCACTTTTAATAACCTCATATTGTTTATTAATTAGATTACTCTTTGAGTTATTCACCATCGGCTCAGTTATAAAGTAACTCGGTTAAAATTAATATTATTATAAAACATGTCTGAATTAGTCGAAAATTTATTGTAAATTGTTTACATGCTCTTTTCTGCCCTTCACAGGAGACTACCTGCCCATTTACCTTTTCCAGAAGTGTCCAAAATGCCAACTGTCGTTCATTGGTTCCGCTTAGATTTAAGATTGCATGACAATCTTGCACTGAGAAATGCAATCAACGAAGTAAGGGATAATTATATAAATTTCTGTCCATTCTTCATCTTAAATTTATTTCTTTTTCATTATATTGTGTTGACTTTAAAATGTGAAATCTTTTTAATTTCAGGCTGAAAATCGTAAACATATTTTGAGACCAGTATATTTCTTAAACCCTGACAGTATACATAACATAGGTACAAATAGGTTGCGGTTTCTTATACAAAGTTTACAAGATTTAGATGCGAACTTACGTAAGCTCAACACCCGTCTATATATTATAAAGGATACAGCTATTAATTGCTTACCTAAACTGTTTCAAAAGTGGCAAGTCAAATTTTTGACAGTACAAGTAGATATTGACCCTCACCTTGTAGATCAAGATGATGCTATTGAGAAAGTTGCTGAAGAAAATGATATTTTTATAGTCAAAAGGGTTCAACACACAGTTTATGATGTCCATAGTGTTCTAAAAAAGAATAATGGCAGTGTACCATTGACATATCAAAAATTTCTTTCATTGGTACAGGATATGCAAGTTAAAGAAACAATAGATATTAATAAGCAAATATCGGAGTGCTGTAAGGCTGAAGATTATAATTCTAAAGAATATGATGTACCAACTTTAGAAGAAATTGGTGTTGATGAGTCAACTTTATCTGAATGTAAATATCCAGGTGGGGAAACTGAAGGCTTAAAAAGACTTAATGTGTATATGTCAAGAAAGCAGTGGGTTTGTAAATTTGAAAAGCCTAATTCATCACCAAATAGTATTGAACCTAGCACAACAGTCTTAAGTCCTTACCTCAGTCATGGTTGCCTTTCGTCAAGATTGTTTTATCACAAACTTAAAGACGTTGAAAATGGAATGCTGCACACACAACCACCTGTGTCACTTTTAGGACAGTTGATGTGGAGAGAATTTTATTACACAGCAGGTGCAGGCACTGAAAACTTTGATAGAATGGTTGGCAATAAACTTTGTACACAAATACCTTGGGGTGAGAATACTGAACACCTTAGAGCGTGGGCTGAAGGGAGGACAGGCTATCCTTTCGTAGACGCCATTATGCGTCAGTTGAAGCAAGAAGGATGGATTCACCACTTAGCTCGACACATGGTTGCTTGTTTTTTAACGAGGGGTGACTTATGGATTTCTTGGGAAGAAGGAGCTAAAGTATTTGAGAATTACCTTCTTGACTATGACTGGTCATTAAATGCTGGTAATTGGATGTGGCTTTCTGCATCTGCAATCTTTTATAAATATTTTAGAGTTTACAGCCCTGTTGCATTTGGGAAGAAAACTGATAAAGATGGCTTGTACATTAGAAAGTATGTTCCAGAGTTAAAAAAATATCCAAGTGAATATATTTATGAGCCCTGGAAGGCACCTAAATCTATACAAACTAAAGCTGGATGTGTGGTGGGTATTGGGTATCCAAAACGCATTGTTGATCATGACAAAATTCATAAAGAAAATATGCAAAAAATGTCCTTAGCCTATAAGAATAATAGAGAAAAGAAAGCTATGAAGAGACCAAGGTCATAAGTTAATAAGGGATATCAAGGTCATGAATTACTTCAGTTTTAATGGAAATAAATGATAGTTTATTTGAATACTAGGATAAAATCAATATTATTGTAACAATAATATAATTTAACCAAAAAAAAAAATACTAAAAATATTAGTATAATAGTGTTGATATAGAAACTAACAAGCCAGTCAGGACCTTGCAAAGCATGTTCCCTTGAGCTATTAGTACATTATGATGAGTTAAAATAACTTTATTATAACTCATCATAATGTGATAATAAGTTGCATTGTGTTTGGTTGTATATGTCATAGACTTACTTTTTCTATCTACAGCCCACTGACTTACTAAGCTAACTTTTTGAGCTAGTTTTTTGTTGACAATTTTAAATAATTATCAATTCATAAGGCATAACCTCACGTGACTTTAGCTCCTGAACATATTTTTTACCTTTAGATCTTATGCTTTATCACAAGTTTTGTTATGATCTGAATATTATGCTTTAAAAAATCGTAGTTATTTTATAAATCTTATTCTGCTTTTTAGATGATGTATCTATGTAACGGCTCAATCCCATAATGATCTTATTAGACTGTGACCATATTCCGTCAAATCCCTAGCTGTCTCATGAAACCGCATCCACCCACAGCACTATAACCCATAAAAACTTATATTTAAAGACTACTTTTCTATGAAAAAGTTTGGCATTATTTTGGCATAAAATTTCAGTTAGTCTATAGATATTCATTTATAATTTACGTACAAAGTGCATCATTGTCGAGTGTTCGGTGTTGTACATTGCTGCGTTGATTTTTTGATTTTTCTAAGTTAAGAATAGTTTTTTATATAATAAAATAGTTATGCAAATTTTTGTGTGAATATAATTAATCATTTTACGTACATAATTTCGAGTAATATATAGAAATAATAGTAATTTTCATCCGCTTGCTATGTAGTTATCAAAATACAATAAAGTATTTTTGTAATGATTAATCCATTGAATAACTGAATTTTGTTTAAACTATAGAGAATTTTGTATAGATTCTATAATGCCAAACTTCTTTGTAGAAAAGTAGTCTATAAATATAAGTTTTTATGGCATGCGTCCGTCAAATCCCGAGCGGTCGCTTGCGACCGCACCCACCCACAGCACTTTCTATTAAAACCAGTGTTGCCAACGGATGAAATAGCAATCCGCCAGACAAGGCTCCTCAAACCACCAGAAAATCACTAACAAAAAGATGTCCCCCTCTGAAAACCACTAAAATTTCCACTAAGATATATGAATATGATTGAAGCAAAAAAAAAAGTAAAATTACGTTTATTATTAAAAATCTTATTGTTGTTAATATATTTTTTTTACTTTTAGTACTTAAAAACATCAAGTTGCTTAAGATATTATTTACATTAATAAATCGTCTTCAGATGAATCTGCATTTTCATTTCAGCCTTACTGTTATCCTTATCAGACTGATATGACTCCTTCGTCCCAATTTGTTTTATAAGATTTAAAGGAATTTCATAATTGTTGTAGCACTTTCCCATTAACTGTATACCGCCGCGTATTTTTAGAATTGATTTCAAAAGAGTTAGCTTCATTCTGTTTCGCTGCTTGTTTTTTATAATATTCATGCTACTGAAAAGTCTTTCCACATCGGCATTCGAATGTGGCAATACCAAAAGTGTAATCGCAAATGTTGCTAATTCTTGAAATCGAGCAACACCTTATGCATCTTTGAATTTCAAGACTTTGCTCCAAAATTTTTTTGTATCTTTTGTTTCATTCCATCTCAGTAAATGAATTTGCTGCCATTGATCGTAAAGTTTTGCAATTAATTCTGTACTTGTTACGAACCGAGCCATTATATCAACCAGATTTTCTTTGTTGTGATGCAGGGCTTTTTTCGAGACTTATACGGGATATTTGTTTCATGAGAGTAATATTTTCCGGCAATCTGTTTTTCATTTCGTCAATCAGAAAACCTATAAACTGTATGCACCTATTCCGCAATACTTCTTCCTCTTCCCGTGGAAAACCTTTCTCTTTCATTTCTTGAATCTGTTTTCCGAATCGGAATCCCAGGTAGCATCTTTGGTCCAAATAGTCACGAATATTTTGAGTAAAGATATCTATCTTATGTGTAGGCAACGTTACTTTTAAAATTCCTAATCCGCTAAAAAAACCACTAGCCACTAAAAGCAAAAATTTGCCACTAAAAGGGGGTTCCAAACCACCAGATTTAGTGGAAAATCCACTAAGGTGGCAACACTGATTAAAACATATTTATAGACTACTTTTCTTTAAAGAAGTTAGGCATTATAGAATCTATACGAAATTCTCTTTTCTATAGTCTAAACAAAAGTCAGTTACATTTTCGTATGATTGGCAAATTGGCAAATCTCGTAAATTGACGGAAGAATGAAAATAAAATACATAGAGTAACTGACTCTCTAGACCACAGGATAGAGAGATTTGTATAGATTCTATAATGCCAAACTTCTTTATAGAAAAGTAGTCTATAAATATAAGTTTTAATGGTGTGTGCTGTGGGTGGGTGCGGTCGCATGCGACCGCTCGAGATTCGACGGACGCATGCGACTGCATGGGATTTTTAAGAGGATTAAGGGGTTAAACTTATTGTTTTTAATAATTATTATGTGTAAATACTGAATAAGTGAAGAACAAAAAAGTTAATAAAAAGCTATACCTAATTGAAATGACAAGTTTTATAATTGTGATCATCGATCACTAATAAAATATTAGTGATCGATGATTGTGATAGACCACTACTAATAAAATAAATAAACGTAAAACATACGCACGTTGTTGAAAACAGTTTGCTGTTGAATTAGTTGACGGAAATGTTATAAGAAAAGAAATCTAAAAAGAAACGACTAGTATTTTATTTATCGCTTAGTAATAATATGTCGACCTTATGGCGTTACATAATTTTATTTTTAATTTCGGTAAGACTTAGTCCTACATTCCTATGCTGAGAAGGTCTTGTGCTTCACTTGTGCGTCATGCTTTTGCACACATTACCTTATTACCGTAATTTTGGGTTTTAATATCCCCTAGACATTCATGTTCGCCATACAACAACGAATCTTAAGTTTTCATTTAGGGATGTTCGATGATCATCGATGTTAGAAATTAAAACATCGATGTTGCCACATGCTAAACATCGTAACATCGATGATACCACATGTCAAACATCGAAACATCGATGTCAATGAGCCAATAATTGATTAATAAGAACTTGTGAACAATGCGAACCCGCGAAATCAATATCAACTAAAATTTCATCTCCTATTAAAGGTTTAAATTTTTGAATAATTTAGGATTCTTAAAGGCATCAACCACCTGAAAAATATCATTATGTTGTGTCAAACTCCCTCTCAAGTGTGAACCGTAATGTCACTGCTTTCGCTTTGTTATGCTGTGGTATCATTGTCACCTAATAACTATTCTACATAAATTGATACACATAATTTTGAAACAATATGAATATACACAATCCAATTATATTTAGCTGTTTTTTGAGCTATTGAGTTTATTTTTCGCTTGAACTTTATGAAAATAAATCACTGGGCGATTATGAGCACAGAAAATTTCACTGCATAGTGCATTTTACAGTGCATTTTATAAACGGCTGTGGATACTTAATGTTTGGGCTGTCTGAGAAAAAAATAGTGAACAAAGGTGACGGAAAACTCTAATATTTTGTTTTTGTGACGTTTGCTAATTCTCCTCTATAATCCCTCTATAATCAGATTTTTTTATTTCGCGATAGGAGTGGTTAATATAGAACATACGTCTAAATCGTAAATTAGGTCTCATAGTAAATTTTTTCGTAGATTTTTGGTTGTATAGGAACATTTGAAGATCAAAATAATAACATTAAACATTATCGGCAAAAAATATAACAAATGAACTAAACATTTGTTAATTTTTGCCCATTTTTTAAATTACTATTTAGAACTAAATGTTTTATAAATTTCTTTCACTTCATTAATAATAAACTATAAACTACACTATAAATTTTTTGTTTATCTAATTTTAACCTACTAATTAGGTAGGTAGTAGGTACATGTGCAATAACATCGATAATGGCCAACATCGATGTTTTAAGTACAATAAACATCGAACATCGATGTTAAGCTATCGATATCAACATCGATGTCATCATCGATGTTTCTGCAACATCGATCATCCCTATTTTCATTGTCGTTTAATTTTCGCTTGAATTTTTGATATAACGCGACGCGACGTCACCCTGTAAACCTGTAATGCAGCGCCAGCTTTCCTTATATACACTTATCTATGGTGGCGCCCTCTTATCTATGATGGCGCCAGCGACTGACTAAGCTTGTAATTTGACTAAGCTTATTTGCCTACTTGTGTATTTACATTTGTCAGTCAGCTAACTTATGTCCTAGGTGGATCTGTGTTTGCTTCTTTTTGCTTATTCATAAAGTTTATACAATAAAATTATTATGTATTTCATTTGTTTTTGTGTACTTATTTGCTAGCCTTAATTACCTTATCCTAAGAGGACGCGGGGCTCCCGTGTTATCGGTGGGCCATCGCTTGTAATTTTTCTTTTTGGGATCATATACAATTTCACCTATTCTATGATTGGTCCTGAGGGGATTGAATTCTTCGTGCGCCAGTTAGGCGTCACCGGGGGATTCTAGGTCTTCTATTTCCAGCTGGGCAATGTTGTCCAACATCTTCTATTCCTCATATCATTTATGTCCTCGGCACGTAGGTGCCAGGCTTCTATGTCAGCCATCTCCCATAGCGCCTCTGTGGATATTCTTTTCGGTAGTTGGGCAGCACTCTTGAGTGCCATTCTGTATTGCCTTTCGATTTTACTCAGGTTCGTCGCGCTGTACCTCGATAGCAGTTAGACCACTCCGTAGTCCAGCAGTGGCAGAATGCAGGCCTGTATTACGGCCAGTTTGGTTTCTAGATCTGTTTTTGCGTAGTATCCAATTATCGGGCCAAGGGCTC